TTTACTTATTAAGAAACTTATGAGCCATTTTTTCAGTGACAGTCAATTAAATATTAAAATTATGTGTATTTTATCAATTAAAGGAAATAAGTATACATGCTAACTCAGCCCAAAATACACTATACAGGCACAATTAGTTCTAACGAATTGATTGGACCAGCCTTAATGTCGCAAATAATTGAGACATGTCTACAACTAGGCAAGTTTGCAACAAGGACAATTTTTTTGTGGTCAAACAACTAACTACATATTGATTGTCAACCAAATTTCCATAAAATTACCATTTTAACATTCTAATCAAAACTGAACATAAATAATAAACATGGACATAATGTAATTTCACATAAACCAAATTTCACTGTTTTCTCTTAAGACCCACTCACATATGATTCTAACATATCTCTAATATGGAAAAATGTAAAATATAAAACAAAAACCTCTCTCGTCTCTATCTTCACTCCCACATTTCTCACACTCTCTTCCTTTATCCTTCTACTTTAAAAACAAAAATAAGTCACTTAGTACCAGGTTTGGTGGTATTCATCTTCACTTGGAAGTGAGAGGTCTTAGGTTCGAATCTCGTGGATTGCGAATTCAATACCAAATTAGGTTGTTGTTGACCCTAAAAACTACAAAGCCTACGTGGCGCGTAGGTCGAGTAATTAATAAGCTAACTACGTCCTTTGGTTGTATGCGGGCGTGCCAACTCGTCGGCCGAGGAGTAAAATGTGTTGATGTTGCGTTGGGTGCGCTGTTGACTTCTTAATCTTGCGACTGCGGCCGAGGAAGGAGCACGTCTACAGCAACAGTGATGTTTATCCAAACTAAAGATATTCGCCGGTTGCCTTCACAGTGTTGTTTATCTAAACTGAAGATGTGTTGGCGAAAAAGGAAAATAAAAATCTCAAGGTTGTTGAGAGGTTTCGCGTAAAGCGAGGGTTTACGCAGGGTAGTTTGTGTGTTGAGTTCGAGTTGCTTTTTCCATTGCCATTGCATCTATATTTATAGGACTGATGTACTTGTTTGGCACGGTTAGATAATCGTATAGAGTCCCTTTGCAATTCAAACTCTGTCGAACATCACTTCAGAATTAGTGTCTAATCATCTTGGCTGTCAAATATCTCTAAGATATAATAAAGGCTCTCCTAATTTCCCTTAAAAAAAATTATATATATATTTCCGCATACGCGACCTTTCCAAATGAAAGCATCATATTCCAACTGAAACTTCTCTTTTTCCCACCATGTTAGTCCAGGTGTGACCGTGCATGCATACTAAATTGCATTTTATCTGCAATACAACGGGATCACTTTAAGAGACCATTCTCTATCAAAACCCATCTGACAAAATATCAAGATCCTTTATGATTATCCATGACTTTTCAAAAACAACACCTAGGCTTATCACATCACCAGGCCTATCCCCCTAAATCATCATCTTTATTGTTGCATTAACCCACGCATGCGTTCATCCATCCTTGCATGCATCATTGCCGTGCATATCCCAATATCCCAAATGGTCAAATCAATGGGGATTTAGACAAATATTAGGTTTAAATAATTTAATATATTACTAAGAGATAATATCATGACTAAAATCACAACATTATTTCTCAATAATAATTGAAAATCATTTTAACCACCCTGTCATTTAACGACACTTGATTACTCGAGCCGATAATGTAAAATCAGGTCCAAACAGTTGCCCATTGTGTAGCTTAGCTGAACTCTCCCTCTTCTTAGTGTAAAAATATCGATGTATTAAAAAAACAAAGAAAAAATGTTCACACTTTTAGTGTGGGCATACTAATTTCATTAAAAATACACACTAATACAGAGTGAGGCAAGTCCAAGGGCAATTCACAACTTTGAAGTAAAAGTGCATCCCATTACAAAAGTAAAGTAAGAAAACAAGCCCCAAAAGTGAGCCTATAACAATGCCTAAGTCGAAAACCCTAAATTTGAAATTGAGGACCAACCTCCCCCACCAAAAGTGATACAACAATATATTATACTAAAAAAAAAAAACCATATTATCTATTCTAAAATTGAGGATGGATTTGACTGTAGCTTAGCTATAGTCAAATTTTTGTCCCTTAATTTTGCCTTTTTTACACCATTGCCATCGCATTTGTGGCTGGGTTGGAGGGTAATTTTGTCATGGAATTCAAGATATTTACATTTTTACCACTCTTCACAATTAGACGTGTGCTTTCTCCTCTCGTCTCTCACTATTCCTCTTTCTCTTCTACGCATGTGCTCTCTTCTCACCTCTCTCTTCCGCTTTCTCTCCTTCTCTACTAGAAAATCCACAATCTTTGTCCTCCTTTCTCTCCACGCCCCATATCTCTCGCCGTGAAGCCACAAACCCAGTAGTAATGGTCGAAAACCTCAAACATGGAGGATGTGAAATGGAGGTACAATGACAATCGACAACCGCTTTCATTGTTGATGAATTTGGCCATCGGAAAGCATCCTCACTTCAATTACGGTATGTTGGATTTCTTGAATTTCCCTTTATTTGGGTTTCCTCTCTCAATTTTGCGTTTGTTTGGGGTTTATAAATTAGGGTTTCCTCACTCTTTTTTTTTTCCAGAAATTGCACTGCATTTCTCAAATTTTGAAAAATGGGCCAAATTTTGATTTTTGCTTTCGTCTCTCTAGTAATTACTCTGAACCCCAAAAGATTTGAAATTTCTGGTAATTTTCTCATTGTTTTTGACAATTTGTTGTTAGAATTTGTATAAATTGCTGCCATTATGTTGTGAATTAGTAGAAAATTGGGGTTTCAAGCAAATGACGAGATGGGTATGACACGCCCCGATCCCGATGTTCCCCGAACACTAGGGTAGGTATGTGATGATCGACACCCGAGGGTGACGAAAGCCATTTATTGAAAATATGAGAACCAAAATATGAATAAGATAAAAGAAATTTAAATATAATTAAAATACAAATGAAGAACGTGTTCAGAGCATACAACTAACTAGAACACTAAAGGAAATAATATAAGATTGAATGAACAAAAGAGTGGATCCTACATTGAGAGGACTCAAAGATGTCGATGCGAAAGTGCATTGATGCCGGGATTGTATGCCTCAATTCTAAGTCCAGAGGGGGCGGGGCGCTAAACAAACATGAGTGGACCAAGTTGATATACATAATAATAAAACAGTTATTCAACATACCAACCCCCAAAGTTTTATGAAAACATAGGTATCATAATATATAGTAGGTTTTTCGAAAACCCTAGCATGCCATAAAACCTTCATAAAACATATCCTATATATAATGCTAACTAGTGGTATCAGTATCAGTATCTATTCAATTAGGACCCTTCACTTGCCAAACAAGCCATTTAGAACACTTCCTTCATTTGCCAAACAAGCCTAACCTATGCCTTGCCGAAGCCAATAAAAATATCATTGCCAAACAGGCCCACCCTACGCCCGGCCGAAGCCAACATAAATATCATTGCCAAACAGGCAAAACAGTGACCACTAGATACACACAGAAACATTGAATATAGTCTTTCCAAACATAGGTACATATATCTCAAAAATATCTTCATAGTATAAAGTCATCTATCATTTATACTATAAAGAAGTGTGTAAAAACATGTTCTAAATAGTATATCGTCATCCATTAAATATCCTATAAAGAACATGGGTTCGATAGAAAATATGGTAATCCAAAATATTCTAAGTAAGCATTATATCTCATAAAATGTTTCATAAAACGTAATCAATAAATCATGTTTTTCATGTATGCATTTCTATGATTAAAACCTACATTTTAGAAGGCGTCCACTCACAGATACGCCGTCATAGAAGAGCTGTATGAATTAGAAATGACAGATTCACCGCTAATAATTGTACCTAAGCACATAAAGGGTACAATTAATAAAACTATACTCAAACGATTTAATTTGGAAAAACAAACGTCAGAAACAGGTCCAGAACGTTGAAATTAGCCTAGGAGGGGTTCCAAACGACACTCGAAAAGTCAATAGGTTCCAGTCGGTCAAAGTCAATGAGTCCGGATCGATCAAAGTCATCAAGTTCGAGTTGGATCAAATCGGGGTGGACCTGGTCAATGGGCTAGAGGCCCTAGGTTCTTGGGCTTGGGTTCTAAGGCCTAAAGGGTTTAGGGGTTTAAGGTCAATGGGCTGCACAAATGGTACTTGGGCTTAAAGGCCCGGCCTAGTTGTTTTTGGGTTTTTAACTAAATAAAATAAAATAACAAAAAGAAAAGGGCTTGGGCTGAGGGTTTAACGGGCCTACGACTCAACTCCTAAAATGGCCCAAAGGCCTAATTAACAGGGTTTAATAGGTTAGGACTTCATGGGCCTTGGGCTTGGAAGCCCAGTCCAAAGTTCTAGGCCCGAAGGCCTGGGTTTGACGGAAGGAAGAAGTTCGAAGCTCGGGAAGCTCCGATTGACCACGATCTTCAACCCTAAGACTCGAATCCACCACCAAAACGAAGAGTAAGAAGAGAGGAAGAGATTGATACATTCAATTCGTCGTGAAAGGGCCGGAGGTCGTCAGACTTTGGCTCACACACCCATTGCTCGTCAGGAGCTGAGTTTAGCACCTCGTGGTATCTTTGTGCAACTTATCGCCTCAAATACAAAATTTAAGTCAAGTGTTTCCGAAACTTACCAATCGTCGGAAAGACAAAGGACTCGACGGAGTTCCTATGTGCTCCATAAAGATGAAGAGATGGAGGGAGAGAGAGAGCTAACATGGTGACGATGATGGTGATGCTGTCGTGTGTATGCATGTGTGTCGGGTAGAGCTCGTGGAAGGGGAGGGTGCAACGAGGGAAAGGGAGAGAACTGTGAGATAGAGAGAGAGAGAGCTTTGAGAAAGGTGTAAGGTGCACGGGAAAGGGAAGAAAGAGATGGAGCGAGACTTGGGCCCCGAGGGAAAAAACAAAAACACGTGGGCCCCACAGACACACATTAAAACCCAAAACAATTTTTAAAATCGGGGGTGGGGTTTTACAAGGTATGTGGGTAAGACAATAAAAACCCATGCTTTCATCTATTTGTTTGCTTAAATATAGTTTTTGTCCTTTTTCAACCTTCTTTGTCAATTGTGTAGGAATTGTTTCATTTTTCTTGGGCTTCTTCAGGTTCAGCAACATCAGGTACTTTTCAATCAACCACAAAAAACTGGTATGGTCTTTTCAAAATTTTCAATTTGGTACATTTAGCGTTGTATTCATATAATTGTATTCTTAATTTTTCAAAATCCTAAATATTTTTCAAAATCCTAAATATTTCATGTATATTAGATTCTCCAATATTTCTTCTGAGTAGCGTTTGATTTTTTCAGGTCTGTTTCCTGTTGGCATGCTTCCTTTGTTTCAGATGGGAGTCAACTCAATTGGTAAGCCATTTGTTTCGATCTATTGTCTCTATGATTTTTCCTCAAGAAATTACATTATTCTCTCAATTGGTAAGACTAAAATTGGTACTCCTTGCATGCCAAAGTACCAACCCGGCACTTTTAAGTTTTCAATATTATTTGCTCAGGGAGTATATTGTTGGGAAATCGTATTTATGGGGAAGGTGATTTTGTAGTTGTTAGAGCGCATATGTGTGGGATGAAGGAAGATATTAGGAACATACTTACTAATTCTATAAGGATGGTTTAAGGGGTTAAATTGAGATTTTCTAGATGAGACCACATGAATTATGAACAAGCTCTTCTTCATTTGGAGAGCATTCAACTTCAAGGAAAATATTTACTGATTCTGCTGTGAATAGTAAGGTGAGATTTGCTATGTGTTTGAGTGTCTATTTTGATGATAAAATTTCTTTTATGAGGTTAATTGAGCTTTATTCCTCATTTCTTTCCGTTATTTTTAGGGGAACTTTAACGAAAAGCTTCTGGTACTGTTCATTTTAACGAAAAACCACATTTTTACACTAAAATGTCAATCCTGGTACTATTCACTTTACCCTTTATTTTGTCCTTGTCATTAAAACTCAAAGTTTTCAAACCCTTTTCATTAGTTTTCCTTACTTTTAGTTGGTTTTATTTCATGATGTTTTTTTTTCTCCTTACTGTTAGATGTTGCTTGACCTCTTTATTGGGACTAATTTTTCATGATTTTTTTTTCATCTCAGTGAAACATATATCAAACCAACAAGGCTGTGGTAGTTGAAATAATCGTTTTAAGGTATGTGTCTAACAGTCTGAGTGTGATAGTATGCATTTCGTTTACTCTTTGTCACCAATGCTTACATGCTTTTTGCTAAATACTTCATCAACAAACAAAGTACAACACAAGAGAAATTTTACTGACCCAAAATCTCCCGAGATTCAAGCTTCACCAGGATCGTGCTCCTCCACACCAAACGAATCCATCGTGCTTCCAATGCAGAGGGCATTGTTCTTGAGATGTGCAAGTGAAATTTAGTTAAATGTCTTTTCCATTAAAAACCCTAACGCATCCATTTTAGCTAAAGGCTTTCAATTTTCATTCTTGTTACGTTAGTATGGTTCATTTACCTTAACAAAAAACAAAAAAAAAAAACGCTTTCCTACTCGGACAATAATATAGAAGTATGTATCATGCATCATCTTATTTGAATCGTTGATTTGTTTGACTGATGAATGAGGGGATTTTATTGTAAGCTCACCGTTTATGTGATGTGTTTTTCTGTTTAGGACATTGCTGCTGAATCTGTGAAGCAGAAGCGTCGCTCGACCAAGAAGCCCTATTCGAGGTCCATCTCCACCGCAACCTAGCTTTTGCCTGTGTAAGTTCTGTATAATAAGTGTCCTTTTACTTGATAGATGTGTTCGGTATAAAATCATATTTTTCCCATATGTTAATAGGGTTTTGGAGTTCACTAAAATCCTATTCGAATTTGGTTCGTGTTCGTCGGGAATATCTCTATGCATCTGGAGACTTGGCTCGATTTCCAACGACGACGAAGGTTCAGATGGTATACTCTACTTCAATTTGTCCATTTCTTTGTGTAATTCAATTCAATGTGCTTTGTTTTTATGAAACTAAATACATAGTAGTGATACTATATTTCAATTCTCTAGACACATGCGCTTCTCTTTGTGATATATAAATAATAAAGTTGTAGATTTGCACATTCGATAAAACATCCTCTTGCTTTGCCAACAAGCCGAATGATATTGAACTGCCAAACCTTTGAGCAGTATTTTTACCAATTCTTTTTTGTTTTTTTCAGTCTTCTAATTTAAACTAAAAATTTAACATTCTAGAGTGTAGTTAATCATAAAACATAGTTAATTGAGGTCTTCAATTAAGTGAAATATTGACAAGTTTCTGTACTTCCATTGTCGAAAATGCGGTGTTGACAACTTGAATTTGTATGGCATGGAGAGCCTATAGTGTCAAGATTTAGTCACAGGTTTAGTAGATCATTCGTCATGTAACTTTGATAAACTTTGTCATCAGTAACTTTTTTCTGAATAGAGAGAATCATTTTGATCTTAAAGATGACATTTGGATATCCCCAGTAGCATTTTCCTTTGGTAGCTCAAATTATCTCATATCAGTAAGTGGAGTTGCATGTTTGATGAGGCATATTTATAGGGATGTGATATACACACATCATTTTTTACTTCTCTCACACATTTTTATTTTCGGTCGTCGAATCGGATGAATTGAAGAATATTAACGGACATAAATTAATAAGGGATGTGTGAGAAGTAAAAAATGATGTGTGGATAGCACGTCTCTATTTATATAGTTATTAAGGGCTTAAGTTTATTTATGCCTTTTTAGTAAAGATGATACCGAGCTTTCATGATTCTTGATTTTTTTTTTTTTTTTTTTACATCCTTTCAGATTACATTGGTTCAGCCTTCCAAAGTAATTTTTTAGACAGAGGAGGCGGAACGGAGGCTAAAGTACCTCTAATTTGTTCAAATGACTACATCTCATGTTGCAATTTGCTTCACAAACCTCTAAAGCTTTGCTTCCACACAATATATTTGAGAACATTTTTACATCCTAATTTTTGTTTTTGTCTGATTTCTGCAAGTTTGAGAGTTGGGTATAAAAAAAAATGCAGACCATTGCATAAGTAAAATACATTTTGCTTCCAGTTTTTTGCTTTGATCGTCTTGGTGCTTTTTTACGATCATCTGTTTTTGGGTTTCAATCTAACGATGCAAGATTGTATGTTGTGTTTTTTGTCTATTTGAAGTGTTATCTGATGCTAATTTTTTTTTTTATTGTTTGGTAATTTAGAATTTGGGTTTACGGGTTGAATTCCGTTTTAGAACTATAATTAAGGTAGTTTAGTGCTCTGATCATGCAGGAGTAGATGAGTATTGAGTTTCTGTGAAAGGTCAAGTTATAAATGGAGACTTGAGGTCAATACTCAAAAGCGTACTAAGCTTGATGATGAGTTGCCGACCGATAGCAGCCCTCTAATCCATTGGAGTTTAGAGCGAGTTCATCGAACGCTTCAGTTCAAACCCATAGAAATCTATGAAATCCGCACCAGAACCCAATGATCATGATATGGACACTAGGACGGAGGTGGATTGTCTACCCTTCCATTTCCATACTCTTTCCATCTCCTCCTGTTTTGTGTGATAAGTCACGTCAACATTTTATATTCGTATTACTTTTTGTTTTATTATTTTTATAAAAAAAAATCAATATAAAATGTTGACGTGGCTTAACCGTGACCACACAAACAGAAGGGGATGTGAATAATATGAAAATGAGAGAGCAGACAATCCACCTCCCACTATGACACCTATATGTAAGTTATTGAAAATATGTTAGTCATTGTATGTAAATGTGGTTGTAAATATGTCAGCGTTTGCCTGCCATATTTTGGACACAGCCCTTGGCCTGCCTTTCTGCAAGCAGCTGGACTTGCCCTCATGGATTCACACATTTTACTGTTTGTTTGGATGCATTGGAAAATTTAGGGTGGAGAATTATTGATGGTGACTTTTGACGAAACATAAGCAAGCAAGCGTGTTACTCATTTTACGCAAACCCAAATTCTTTCCAAAATTGGACTAATACGGCCCAATTAGTCCTGATTGTGAAGTCCAAAATGGTAATTATACTTGATCCCTAGTATTACCCTTCTCAAAAACATCTTTAACAAATTTGATTATTATCATAACTTATTAGTCAAACACAAAGTTGTTTTACATATAATCAAATACGAATAGATACATTAACAACAACAGTAAGAGTACTGAAAAACCAAAATAGTTCAAAATCATCCCACTAATACAAGTTAAGTTCTCGAAAGACAAACGTAACCACATGCGCCGCATGTTCAGCTCTGTTGCAACTGCAAGGAGCAAAACCAAACGCCACGATTTGTAAATAGGAAGCAAGGACCCGAATGTCATGGATGATCTCTTCTACTGACATCACCTTATCAGTCACTAACATGATCTCTAAAGCTAATTATTATTCTAATTCTCTAAAAACTTTCGGGGAAAAAAAAGGGAACTCAATTCTTTTCTCAAATAATTGGAAGTCATGGATTGGTGGCCTCTCCTCAGTGTTGCGCTTAGGTCATCCAAAATTTTATTTTCTATTGTTTCTGGTACAATGGGACAGCTTTGTATTTCAAATTATTATTCTAATTCTCTAAAAACTTTCGGGGAAAAAAAAGGGAACTCAATTCTTTTCTCAAATAATTGGAAGTCATGGATTGGTGGCCTCTCCTCAGTGTTGCGCTTAGGTCATCCAAAATTTTATTTTCTATTGTTTCTGGCACAATGGGACAGCTTTGTATTTCAAATTTCAAATAATGTGGCAATAGGACCCCTACCAATGGAAAGACAAAGCCTACCAATGGAGTTTAGGCTTAGGATTGTATATTATACCTCTTCATGAGAAGAATAAACATATCATTCAAAACATTCTCTTCTTGGCATAAGAGCCAGGACGAAAAAAAAAAACCTCGTCGTGCTATGTAATCAGTGCATCGTCCAAACATAACGCCATGCATGACAGTAACACAACATTTGATCAACGAACGGGTGTTTCGTACTGTTGATGTCCCTCGGAAGAAAACCACAGCAAGCGACGAATTGTCGTTGCTGTCCTCGAATCACAGTGAGCGATTATTCCATCGTTGCTATCCCGGAACCGGTGTAGACATTCTTGCATCCCAGAATTCTGTGCAGCATTCTTTGTGCATGTGGTTCCTTGATCAGCACCACAGCCTCTCAGCCACATCCGTGGTCAGCGAGCAATCTTTGTGTTGTTGTTGCAGTGTCCTGATTCTCAAGCAGCGAGCAACTTTCTGTGTTGTTGCTGCTCAGACTTGCTGCCCATAATTGTCAACATATTTGTTTTTTATTTTATTTACCCATGAAGTGTTACCCTGACATAACCGAGCCCACCACTATAGAAGTTGGAGCATATGCGTCTCTTGCCAAATCTAAAGGTGAATTCGATCGTATAAATGCCAAGGCATCGGCCATGAGTACCGTGGCCAGTGATGATGGTAATGGTAAGACTTTAAAGGTTTATGCATCTGCTACGAATAATACATGGATAATTGATTCAGGTGCTACTGAACATATGACTTATGATTATAGACAAGTACAAACCCTAAAACCATCACCCAAAAATGTCGTGAATGTTACCAATGGTAATGTTGCCCCCATTATTGGAGAAGGCAATGTCTCACTTTTTGATACCTTGAATCTTGATTCTGTACTCGTTGTTCCTTCTCTTGACTATAATTTATTATCTGTTGCTTAAATAACTGTCGCCATACATTGTCTTATGATTTTTTGGCCTTCTTTTTGTGTTTTTAAGGATATTCGGACGTGCAAGACGATTGGTTATGGTATTAGGAAAGGAAAGCTCTACCACTTGTAGCTGACATCGAACAGTTCCCGGATGTTGACTCAAGCTTTTGCAGTGGAAGGAAATCAGGGGGATAGGAATAAAGCTTCGGAGATTTGGTTGTGGCATCGTCGACTTGGACATGCTTCGTTTGGCTATCTGCACAGGTTGTTTCCTAGCCTCTTCGTTAAGCATGATATTTCTACTTTTAAATGTGGTGTTTGTGAGATGGCTAAAAGACATCGTACTTCGTTTCCGCCTAGTTTGAATAAAAGTTCAATCCCGTTTATGATCATTCATTCTGATGTTTGGGGACCATCTAAAACTGCTACACTTGGTAGTGCTCATTGGTTTGTTACTTTTATTGATGACTACACACGTATGACTTGGGTTTGTTTGATGATGTCCAAAAGTGAAGTTACTTCTTTGTTTCAGCGGTTTTACAAAATGGTACTAGTGCAATATAAGTCACAAATACAGGTTCTCAGAAGTGACAATGGCAGCGAATATGTAAACTCTGAACTTCGTGCCTTTCTTGATCATCATGGTATTGTTCATCAGACCACATGTCCATATACTCCACAACAAAATGGTGTTGCATAACGCAAGAATCGTCAGCTTTTAGAGGTTGTTCGTGCTTCTTTACTCGAGGCGTGTCTCTCATTATCCTTTTGGGGATAAGCTCTCACCTCAGCTGCTATTTCATGAATCGTGTTCCATCCCGATCAGTCGACTTTTAAACACCGCTCCAGACTCTCTCTTCATATGTTGATGCTCCCACAGTTCCTAATCTTCCACCTCACGTGTTTGACTATGTGGCATTCATTCATCTTCATAAACAGCAGAGAAGTAAGCTTGAACCTCGGGCCTTACGGTGTGTGTTTGTGGGGTATGCCTCAAATAAAAAAGGGTATCGTTGTTATCACCATCTAACGAAAAAAATTGTTTGTCACAGTGGATGTTGTGTTTCATGAGAATGATATATACTTTGTCAATCTAGAGTCTTCACTTCAGGGGGAGAATCAGACAAAAGTTTAAACTCTTGATTATACTATTCCAGATATAGAGAGTGTGGATGATTTGGATTGAAGTGGTGATGTCTTGGAGCTAAGTGGTGATCATTCACACAAAAACAATGATGTGAATGAATTGGAGCTAAGTGGTAATGTCTTGGAGACAAGTGGTGATCATTCACATGAAAACAATGTTGAAAACTTTGAAAGGGTCGACTCAACATCGCCAGATAACTTACTGCCTGATAGCTCACTGCCAGTTTCCTCACCACCGGACAATCTTATGTCGCCAGCTATCTCACAGCCGATCTTAAGTCCTAATAACCATAATCAATCACCTTCGATCCCGAATTGACCACCACCACGTTGTCTCCCTGATCGCGTCAACTGAGGTATTCCTAAACTTACTTATGAAACCGACCTTAAATGCAAAACTAGGTATTTGATGAGTAAGCCCAACCTTGAGTCTAATGTGTTATACCCGTTAAGTAATTATATGTCCACCAGTCACCTGTTAGAATCAAATGATGTGCATCAATTATCTACTGTATCTATTCCTAACAGTGTATAGGAAGCTTTAGTTGATCCACGTTGGAAAGCAGCAATGAATAAAAAGTTGAAGTCTTTGAAGAAGAATGCTACGTGGGAGATCACAGACTTGCCAGCTGGTAAGAAACCTGTGGGATACAAATGGGTTTATACGGTGAAGTACAAAGCTGATGGGACGGTGGATCGCTTCAAGGCAAAACTAGTAGCAAAATGATACACTCAAAAATATGGAATTGACTATACAGATACATTTGCTCATGTGGCTAAGATCAATACAGTCCGTGTTTTGTTATCCTTGGCTGCAAATCTTAATTGGCCATTACAACAATTCGATGTGAAGAATGTCTTCTTACATGGGGATTTGACAGAAGAGATTTACATGGAACTCCCACCAGGGAGTAATGTTCTAGATATGCATAGAAAAAGGTGTGCATGTTTCGGAAATCATTGTATGGGTTGAAGCAGTCTTCAATAGCGTGGTTCGGTAGATTTACTAAATTTATGAGAGCATTTGGATATAAGGAAAGCAACTGTGATCACACAATGTTCTTGAAACGTCGGAATGGAAAGCTTATATCACTCATTGTATATGTGGATGGCATGGTAGTTACCGGTAATGATCTGGATGAGCGTGCAGCCTTGCACAAATATTTAAGTACAAAATTCGAGATGAAGGATCTTGGGTCTCTGAAATATTTTCTTGGGATTGAGGTATCAAGGAGCAAGTCAGGAATCTTCTTGTCACAGAGAAAATATTCTTGATCTGTTAAAAGAACTGGCATGTCAGCGTTCAAACCCGTGACTACTCCGTTGGCAGAAGGAATGAAGTTGAGCATTGATTTAAACCAAGTACCGGGAGATAAAGGGAGGTATCAACAGTTAGTGGGAAGATTAATGTATTTGGCACATACTAGACCAAACCTTGCTCATGCCTTGAGTGTTGTTAGTCAATACATGCATGTTCCAGGAGAACAACACATGAATAAAGTTATGAGGATATTGAGTTATTTGAAAGGAAGTCCAGGGACAGGGATTTTGTTTCAAAAGAATGGTCATTTTAGTATTAAAGGTTATATAGATGCTGACTGGGCTGGTTCGAATGATGATAGGCGCTCAACATCAGGTTATTTCACCTTTGTTGGTGGAAATCTGGTTACTTGGAAAAGCAAGAAGCAGGAAGTAGTAGCAAGGTCGAGTGCAGAAGCAGAATACAGAAGTATGGCCCTTGGTATTTGTGAGATTTTATGGCTTAAACTACTACTACAAGATTTGGGTGTTAAACATAATCAACCGATGAAGTTGTTTTGTGATAATAAGGCTGCTCGCGATATTGCTCATAATCTGGTGCAACATGATATAACTAAACATGTGGAGGTTGACAGGTTCTTTATTAAAGAAAAGCTAGAAGGTAAAATAATTGAAGTTCATCCAATCAGAACGGAAGATCAAATAACTGACATTCTCACCAAAACAGTTTCTAGTGAAAAGTTTTATAAGTTTCTAGACAAGTTGGGCATGTGTAACATATATGCACCAACTTGAGGGGAAGTGTTGACTTGTATAGTTTCCTATAATTTAGGATTTCCTAGTTTAGGATAGATCCCGTGTAATCTGGGAGAAATTTCTTTGTAAGCTCCTGTAATTATTCTTTCCTATTTAATAAGGCTTAGGATTGTATATTATACCTCTTCACAAGAAGAATAAACATGTCATTTAAAGCATTCTCTTATTTTTCCCTTTCCGTTTGGAGGGTACGAGGGTATTCAAGTTTGTTCCTTTTGCTGTATGGTTTGAGAAAATTGAATCTAGGGTTTGTTTGATCATCTGGGGATCGATCAGGTGCTCAATTTAGGGTTAGATATGGCTGTATTCTTGTATTATACTAAAGGGGTGATAACTCAGTAAGTACATAATTAAGTGTATGAAATGTAATAAAGTTGGGAAGTTTCAGAATATTTCGGATCAGATTCGAAATATTCAAATACATTCCAATTCCTATACCATTTTTTTAGAATTTTGGTTTTATATTTTAATCAGATGGAATATTTTAGAACTTTTCGATTCAAAATGATGGGAATTGGAAATTCCTATCCAACTTGCACCCCTAGTACCACATCATGTGCATTTTCATCTTTCGTCTACATCATTCTTAAATCCTTATTCATCCGTAATTTCTTCTTTGTAATTATTCCTTATTTCTAACCAAAAATTACAAACTAAACCAAAATCAACAAAGTCATTTAATACTACAGTCTAATGGTATTATTCCGCATTTGTAAGTAAACGATCTTAAGTTTGATTTTTGCTCAAAGGCAATTCTGAGCTATATTATTATGGCTATCTCATTGTAAGGTTTCACCCACTTTATTATCGCTCAAGGGCGATTTTGAGCCATATTATTATGGCTAACTCATTGTAAGACTTCGTCCACTTTCTCATCATTTTAGTGTAAATAATACCGTTAGTTAAAAAAAGAGGGAGTTTTAACAAAACACTTCCGATACTGTTTACTTTTAACGAAAAACCACATTTTTACCTTTAACTGACACTATTCACTACACCTTTAAAAATGGCTTTTCGTTAAAAGAGAAGTTTTTTTGGACTTTTCATTATTTTTGCTTAAAAAAAAAACCACTCAGTACAACGGTATCATGATATTTCTCTTCAGTTGTAAGTGACATGTCTTAGATTTGATTCAATCATATTATTGCTAGCCCATTATCAGGCTAGACCGACCTCATTTCTCTTAGTGTCAATAATATTGTTTGTTCTTAAAAAAAAAAAACTAAAATAAACGAAAGTTATCAAACGGGCCATAAGTTGGCCCTGTAAGGTCATTTTCAACCGAATGGTTCAGAGGGCTAGATGGTTAAAAATAGCCTGAAAATCCTTTCCAACCGAGGGCTAGGCCATAGGGCTCGTGGGTCCTACGGAATCTGAAAGGGCTAAAGGGCTGGTTGCCCAGGGTTGGCCTAAGACCATCTCCTAACCGAAGGAGGGCCAGAGAGCTCGTTTTAGCCCTCTGGTCTTCTAAGAAATTAATATTTTAATGAACAGTGCATGATCATATTTCTTACCGTGTCCAACTGAGGGCCAAGCCAAACATAGCCCTGTCACTAAAAATCATCTCCAACCGAGGGCCAAAGGGTCATAGGGCCAAGCCAAACATAATTTATTATTTTAATTGAATTATTATGGTTACTTAAATTAAATTAACTCACTAATTTTATGTTACGTCAATAATTTTCATGTTGTTAAATGTTTTTAAAATGTTGTTTAAGTTTCATGTTGTTAATATATATTTTTATGTTGTTTAATGTTACTTAATGTTATTTAAAGTTTTATATATTATTTAATGTTGTTTTATGTTACTTAATGTAAAAAAAAAAAAATGATGTCATCATGTGGCCTGGCTGTGGCCGGCTGATTGGCTCATTTGAGCCAATCGGTTGGCCCTTTGGCCCTTTTTTGTTCAGTAGGAACCACAAGCCCTTTTACCTGGCCCTTGTTTGGAGACTGTTTTCGGACTATTTTCGGTCATTTGATCCTCTCTGTCGGAGGTTGGAGGTGGTATTAAGAGTATTGACGACGGAAATGTTAATATTTAGCCCAAAATGTCTGAAATGGGCGTGTGGCTAATTCGGCCCAAAGAAAAAAGCGCCGTGAGTGTAGTCCCTAAAACCCCGAGCAAATCTTCGCCGACACCATGAGCGCTCCGTGCCAACTCACTAAGTCCGCCGGTCACTGTTGATTGAAAGCGGTTTCCTTCCCGTCGCCGGCTCAGACGGTCACAGTGTTTATCTCCGTTTCTCGTGGCTGAGTTGGCTGGTAAGTTTGGAAACGTGGAGTTGTTAAAACAATTTTTTGCGTTGCTTGTTCTGGTCTGCCCTTTATTTCATACTCATACTTTGCTCTTTCAATTTGAGTGTTAAATTTGGCATATTTCTTTTGTCTTGATTGCTAAGAAGTAAGATTAAAATTGTTTTTTTTTTGGACAGTTTCTGCAGTTTTTGCAGAAAAAAGTAATATGAAATTGAATCTTAGAGAGAAAAACAAATGGTGCTTGGATTTGATAGGAGTGATTCGTTTTGCATTGGGTGTGAATTTTGAAATGGGTTTGTAGTGGGTGAACTGAAGTTGTACAAGCTTTCATAGCCTAACTCCAACTGCCTGTGCAAACCTTAATGATAACATACTCATGGTGGGGATGGACTTGGAAGACTGAGAATGCTATCTATATTTCTTACGTTTTTAATTTGACATGCATTTGGTTGACAATTATTCGTTAGTCGATATATAATAGATTAATAGGTTCAGATGTTAAATTTGTCTTACTCTTATTTTGTTTATTTTTTTTCCTGCTTTGCTTTACTTTCTTTGTTATAACTTAGGGTATGCCTTCTAGTTTGAATAAATGCCTTCCACATGAAGGTTGAAGTTCTTTACATTGGTTTAGTCTAGAAATTAGACAATGAGGATTGGCTACTTCTCAATATTTCGGTTTGTTTTCAAGGGAATTGAGAATATGAAGATACACGTATCTCTACGACATCAGTGTGTATTTCAGGTTCCTAGTTATTCTTGTGCCACCACCTTGAAGTATGGGTGGAAGTACACAGTTTAACTCTTATGATTCTCTTCCTAGCAATATGGATGATTTAGATTACAATTTTAATCCTATGTCAGTGTCTGCTTGGTGGATTTTCTTATTTTTCTTTGAAAATTTCTATTGCTGGATGAATTGTTTCTGATATGGGCTCTGATGATAGGTTTGATCATCGGAGTCATGGCTATGTCTCTGATTAGGAAACTCCCCCATCGGTTCAACACCATCAGGACCTTTGTGAACGCCAAGGTAAAATGGGTCCGAGATCCATATTTGGACTACGTAGTTGAACGAGAGAAAGACCTTAAACAATCCATTTCTTTGAAGAACCAAATCCTCTCCAATCCTTCTCAGTCCCTCCCTCTCTCTGCAGCTTCTTTGCTCAAACCCCACCTTGACCTCCCCACTACATCCTCCAAATTTTTCCATAAATATCCTTCCTTCTTCTCCATATTCCAGCCCTCCCCTGGCCTCCCTCCCCATGTCAAGCTCACCCCACAAATCCTCTCACTCCATAAAGAAGAGTCAGCCATTCATACCTTCATGCCTAACAAATACAACGCCATTGAACGACTTTCTAAGGTTTTGATGCTCACCAGAGGGACCAAGTTGCCCATGCACCTGATTAACAGATTGAAATGGGATTTGGGTCTACCTCATGATATTGTGGGTACCCTTCTTGCTGATTTCCCAGATTATTTTCAGGTTTGTGAGGTTGAGGATGCAGTAACTGGGAAACTAGAGCTTGCGTTGGGGCTTGTTTGTTGGAGAAAGGAGCTTGCTTTATCTCAATTGGAGAAAAGGGCAATAATGGTTGACCTGAGTGAGAAGATGTTGAAGCACATTGCATTTCCAATGAACTTTCCAAAAGGGTTTGATTTGGATAAGAGGGTGAAAGATTGGGTTGAGGAATGGCAGAGATTGCCATATATTTCACCATACGAAAATGCAGCCCATCTTTCAGCAAATAGCGATCAGGCAGAGAAGTGGACGGTGGCAGTGCTTCATGAAGTTCTTTGGCTTATGGTTTCCAAGAAGACCGAGAGGGAAAATTTGTATGTTTTGGGAGAGTATTTGGGGTTCGAAAGGTCTAGGTTGAAAAAGGCTGTGGTGCATCACCCAGGAATCTTTTATGTTTCAAATAAAATTAGGACACAGACTGTGGTACTAAGGGAGGCATATAGGAAGAACTTCTTGATTGAGAAACACCCATTAATGGGTATTCGGTATCGGTACATTCATCTCATGAATAAGATACCAAGAAGGCATAATTCGAATCTTGTTTTGGCCTCTGATGGTAGAAGACTGATTTCTGTCAGCTGATAATTGTGGTATAGAAGAACTGGGAGAGGAGATCAATGAGAATTGCTCTTGAGATGCTGCATTTGATGATTCTAATAATGCTGCAATGATGAAATGGAAATTTGAGGGAGGTCATATAGAGATTGATGTGATAAGTATAATGCTTTGGTGGCATGATGTGTATTTTGATTGAGAAGATGAGTTAATCTATTGGATGATATACCACACTGTTGCTACGGAAGGCATAAATGCTGCCCAGGATCTGATGCGGGCAAAGCTGGTTTTACCTTTAGTGAGAGGAAGTGGGTTGTTGAAAGGACAGCTGTTATTTTGGAGACATACAGGAAACTAAGTATCTTCGGCAAAAAATTTAGTGGCAGTGTAGTTTATAAATAACAATGGTATTGCATCAAGTTAAATTATTTTCTTTTTCTCCTGCATACAAATTGCATTCTTTTCCTGTGGTGTCGTCACACTTTTCCGTTGAGGGTTTTAAATTTCATCCTAGTTGGAGTTAAGTCTCTGCCTAATTGGATTTTAGTTGTTATCTGGTGAGTGTGTTACTTAGTGTTTTCTGCTCCTTGAGATGATTTGTTTAAATGCTTCATTACCTTGATAAATTTGAGTTGTGTTTGATTTGAACAAATGAGTTGTTAAATTATCTTGGTAAGATTGCCCTTTTGTATGCTAACTTGCCAAGGCTTGGATTTTATTGTGCAAATAATATTTCAGATACCTCCTTTCATATCTTCTGTGGGTACTGGTATGAGTATTAGAAGTTAGATGTTTGACGTTCTTTATGTGATTATCCTACTGTGTTGCCTTTTGAGAATGAAATCTGAAATTCATGTAATAGTTTTATAAATGATAATAGGTTTCTAGACTTGAATTTTTTGAGTAGCTAACATGTTGGAGAAGGAAACGATTTGATTCAATTCTTATTAGGAAAGCTTTTATTTTGTGGATAGAATTGATACAAGTGCTATTGCAAGCAAACTTTCTAATGTATTCATTTTGTGCATTCTATTGTCATCATCTAGGTTGGGTCTGCACATTATTGTGACTTGATAGTTTAGGAGCCATGCTCTTGTTGTTCATTGTTATCTTTATTTTTACCATCCCTTCTTTTGTTTATATGGTCCACTATTATTTTATAATCAATCACAAGTGAAACTAGAGATGGTTTTGGTGTGTTGTTGATTTTATGTTGGGTTGATATTGAAGCTAGATGGTGCCTGAGTTTTGATAGAACAAGGTAACTGAATGACATGAAGCTGTCTTTTTCTTTTAGGGTAGCTTGTCAGTTTTATTCAAGCATTAGGATCTATCTTGCAAGAGAACGGAGAATTAGATGGAGATCTCAACAAAAGAATACAAGCTGGATGGATGAAGTGTAAGAGTGCATCCGGCGTGTTGTGTGACCGTCGTAGGCCACTGAAGCTCAAGGGAAAAATTTTATAGGACGGCAATAAGGCCAGCGATGTTGTATGGCACAGAATGTTGGGCGGTGAAGCATCAACACGTACACAAAATGGGTGTAGCGGAGATGAGGATGCTTCGTGGGATGTATGGGCACACGAGAAAGGATAAGATTGGGAATGAGGATATCCGAGGTAAAGTAGGAGTAGCCAAAATTGAAGGAAATATGAGAGAAAATCGGTTCCGGTGGTTTGGACATGTGCAAAGAAGGCCAACTGACGCTCCGGTTCGAAAATGCGACTACGGGACAGAGGTTCAGGGCCGAAGGGGTAGAGGAAGACCTAGGAAAACTTTGGAAGAGACCCTAAGAAAAGACTTGAGTACTTGGATCTAACGGAGGACATGACACAAAACCGAGCGCAATGGCGTTCTAGGATTCATATAGCCGACCCCACTTAGTGGGAAAAGGCTTTGTTGTTGTTGTTGTTGTTGTTGTTGTATTAGGGCTTTTGGATTGATCCAGAGCTACAGTAGCACAGCAGTTTTAATTAGTGCATATAAAACCAAAAGAATTAGACAATCATGTTTATGTGTTCAGTTATGGCTGAATTTATGATGATATGTGCTTTAAATAGGAGTTTAGAATGTTAAGTATTGTGCATCAGAGCTGAGAATTCTGGCTACCTCTGGAGCTTTAATTTGGAAAAGTTTATTTTGTATTTTGTATAAAATTTCCTAATACTATTCTCTCATCTGTACTTGTTTTTTTGTTATTAGTTGTGTAGAGGTAAAGCGAGTGGAAGAGTTGTAATGGAAGAACTTTTGGGGTTCACGGAAAAATCAAGAGATAATGAGGAGTTGGGTATATCAAAGTCGTCATCATCATCACCTTACAGCTACAAATTGGTGCCTTGGTTGAGCTGGGATGAGTGGCTCTTTGTTGACAAATCTCTCTTCTCTAATTCACCTGATTTTGTGGCTTCCGCTTTGAGAAGAGTAAGAGAAACCCAACTTCATGTTTTCATTTTGCTTACCATGGAAAACAAGAAAATGTTATGTTAGAAATTTCACGTGGATATTGCTTGTTTGAATCTTGTGTATCCATTGCGATAATTTTGAAAATTAATGGACACAATTACTTTTTAAAGAGTTTTTTCCTTTAAATTGAATTTTTTTGTGAGGTTGCTGGCAATGACATAAATTCTTTTTATGTTTTAATTGTTGTTTACAGATATCAACATGGAGAAGCAGAGGCTGTCTTCCTATTACGATTGAAGTTACAGCATCAATTATTGAAATTCAACGAAAAGATCCTCACTTTAGGTAGCTTTTACTCCAACTCCTATGCACCTGTTTGGATCAACTTATATCTGTTTTTACCCGGTGGGGGTGGGGGAGGGAATACTTTATGCTAAATGCTGTTTGCTTTGTGGTTATGTTTGTATATATTTATATCTCTTATATTGTTTTGAATTTCTTCAAAAGATAATGTATTTGTCCTACTTTGCCAACAACTTTGTGTACGTGTTTTTGAATTATAGAAAGGACCAGTCAAATGATGCTTTAGATAATTCCAGAACAGATCAATCAATTGATGCTTCACTCTCGGAGGAAATGCTGGCCATGTTATATTGTATGGCAATCATGAGGTGAGGTTCCTTTAATTTTGTGCTCTTAAATCTCTCCATTCTTTTCTTTACTCCTTATCATTTTGTGATGTATGGATGCATGTTCTTAGTAATAGTATCATAATAAGCACAGTGCAATAATTAGTAGAAACATGGTCCTTGATAAACTATAATGCTGAATCAAACTATAGTCCTTAATCAAAACACACACACACACACACACACACACACACTTTCTCTCTCTCACTCGCTCTCTTTGGGAGGTAGTTTGTAGTGGGTTTGACGGAGAGGTAGACTACTTCGACTCATATATGGGCAGCAAGCATGTTAAATAGCTAGTTGTATCAAGTGTTGGATCTTTTTTCATGTTTCTACGAATTATTGCATAGTCTTTGACTTATCCCAGCTATTATGGATGTATAGTAGATATATATGTTCTTAGTAAGGGTCATTTGGAAGAATCTTTAAGCATCCGAATTTTTTGTCGGGAATTTTTTCTTGATACGTGCATTCACTGCGTATTATCTTCAATTTAAGATATCTTGTGCAATGGGTTCTTGTAAGTATAGCATGCATAATTTTTTAAAGCTGTCCCATCACATAACTGATATTAGTAACATATCATGATAATTTTTGAGGTTTTCATAGTAGACATAGAACAGAGAAATTCTGTATTCAATTCATAGGGGATTAATGTTTAAGCTCATAATTATTTTGCCTCCTTTTTCTGTTTGTCATTGTCTCATGTGATGTTACATAAATAATCACCTTAACACTAGTTGGCTTGTTTCTGAAGGCTTGTGAATGGTGTGGTTGAGAAGACACGGAAAAAAACAGAGGTGTCAATTGCTGTGGCTGCTGATGCAATTGGCATTCCACGTACACTGATTGATGTTCGTCATGGTGAGCAGCTCCAACTTTTATCTTGTAATCTTTTGTTTGTTGGTTAAGCCTTTAGGCTTTTCTGTTAGATAACCAACCATGCCCATTCGACTTATGCCTACTTTGCGCACAGGGGTTTGGGTATTTTAAATAATTTTTTGAATTTATTTTTATTTTTCACTTTATTATTGCTTAATTGTTTAGAGGGATCTCACCGTGAACTTCCCGCACTTGACGTTGTTCGTACTGCTTCAGTTAAGGTACATATTATGCTTGGTATATCAAAAACTTCCCACCTTCATACTCTTCAAATGCTTAATCAACTTTTAGATTTTATGTTTGAGAAATCCAGTCTATTTGACAATGAATAATTATAATAGAATCCGAGTTAGACATCGTTTGATGTTTGATTAAACTACTTGTGGGTGCTGCACAAAATGGTGGTTTTATTTGATAGTATGTCTGAATTCTATAAAGTTGTGCAAACCGGTTTTGTTTTTCCATATAAACATAGGGGACACGTTTTCTGATGAGAGCAGATTCTTATTTCAGGTTTCCCACACTTGGCTTTATTCCAGCCTATTTTGGCTGGAAGACATCATATTCTGCTTTTCAATTGTAACAAAATGATATTATTATCTCAATATGTTTCTAGCTATCACTTTCATAGGCTAGAACTTTCAGATCTTGAATAGGGAAGATTAAATTGACCCAAAAAGAGAAAATATGAATAGGGAAGATTAAACTTGTTTCTGAAAACAAACCCTTTACAGTTAGTCTTTTAATAATTTTGACTTCATGAATATCACCAGATATTATTATGTCTGAGCATAAAAAGGCCCCTCTACAGTTATCGTAACCCTTTATGGCTCTGTTACAGGTTCATTTTAATTCATGACAATTTGTTCCTTTTTGCCCTTTTTTTGCCTACTGGAACACTTCAATGATTATATACGAGTTGTTTGGAAGAGGATGACTTGCTTTAAATTTGAGAAGTTAAACATTATCCCTGGTTGGTGTTTTTAGGCCCTTCATTGGTTGAAGTGCTATTACTGGGAGCCTCAGAAGAAGGAAATTCCATTTCATGGTAATGAAACTGATAATATCAGAAATGAAATATGGTCTAAATTGCATGAATTGGCCTTCTGCTTTAGAGTTAAGACAACTCCTCAATCCCGTTCTTCAAATGTCAAGAAAAAGCGCGGTATGAAATTTGCATTTATTCAAGTTATATTGATTATAGTGACTAAATCTCTGATATATATAGGATACAATATTTTCTGATGCTTTTGCATAGAGAAAATATGCGGTGCACCGTATATATCTTTTCATATTACTTGCAGCTACATTTTGTAGGGATTGTGATGTTTTCATCTCCTGGGGATGTTTCTTGTTTGTATGGTTAGGACTTTTCAGTCTTCACCCATTCTTTGTAAAGGAGTAATCTTAGACAATAAGTTCGGAGTTATTTTTCTGATAGAATTTTAAAATGTCCGTAAAATTAGGAATTCGTAATTTTCTCCAATGCTGAAATGCTTGTCCAAGTTTTTTTTTTTTCTTGCAAGTTTTGGGGAATATTCTTTATGATGGAATGGGAATGGATTATCATGGTATGTATTTCAATCAGCAAGCTATCTCGCAATCACAAGGGAAGGTCAGAAAACTGTTGATTGTCATGTTGTGTTCCAAGGAAATGGAATTTACTTGGCTAAGCTGTTGTAAGGAAGTCAATATTGACATGTATCATGTGTACGACGTATACTCTACTGAGACATGTCCATGTAGTCCATGTGTATGTCATGTTTTGGGTTTGATTTAACACGTTTTATTTGATGTAATGCTACACCTGCATATTTCTCTTTTTATACTTGTATGCCTAATTCCTATTGTTGTATTGACCAAAAAAAAAAAAAATTGCTATTGTTGATTAGAATGTTTAGAAAATGTAGTAGGTGATTAGAACGTTTTATTTGATGTAATGCTACACCTGACTTACTCTTATATTGTGCACACAGCCATCATAATTCTAATCGGATGTCCGTGATTCAAGAACAAGATGTATTTTAAAACATGGATGTTTTGTAAGTATGGTTATTAATTGAGGTACTTCATTTCCAGGTTTAAAAAAAGACCGTACAAGGATATTGAAAAGTCTTATTGGGATGTATTCTTCCTTCTCCTCAGAAGTTGTTTCTGTACTGTTGGAGTTCTTGTTGGAGTCTATAAATTCCTCAGACTCATCGGAGCTTCCAGTAAACACCCAAAGTGGCCCAAGACTACTTGTTTCGTTGAATGAGTGGAAGCTTGTGATAACAAAATTTTCAAACAAGGAACCAGAGTTGCTTCTCGCTCTTCTGAATGCAGTTCTTGATATGATTGAGACTCGGGAAAGAGTGATATATGAGACGGGTAATCACGTGACCTTATTTTTTTATTTTTTGTATTATTTGTCCCTTATTCAGATATAGAATGGTAGAACATATGCTGAGATTGTGTGTAGATTTTAATTATATATACATGGTAACTGAGTTGCTTTTTTATGTTGGAGATGGGTAAGTGATCTAGCCTGCAATAACGGTCACATCAGAACTGTGATTTCTTGAGTATAGAGTGTTTTTAAATTTGCATGCTTAGATATATTTCCTCTGGCTTCCCCTGATAAAGCTGCATATTTCATTTCTATATCACATTTGGTGACAACTAAACAGCAACGTACCTCCTTTAGGTCGGAAAAGCTTCTGGTTTTCAGAAGTTCTAAAGCATAAGCTGCTGAATTAGGTTAGATGAGTAATCAACGTTGAGCATAAGAAATGTCTCTGTAAGGTGTCCTTTTTTAGCATAAAATACCGCACAACAGCTTAAGGAGAGGAGCCCTCCCACTGAATCCTCAATCAGTTAAGAGTTTAAGCCGCTTTCTTGAAAGAATGTTCATGGTAGCTGCGTATAATCAGCTAAAGCCAGATGCCTCTTTAGGTGCATGATGTGCATTTGATTTCCTAGCCTAAATTCACAGTGCAAGTTCAGACACCTGCTTTTGAATTTGTTCGATCATAGCATGAATTCAACATCATTTGCTACAGCTAGACGTACTCACCAAAATTGAGTGTGTGATTTGTATTTGCTCAAAATTTAGATTATCCAAGCATTCTTATCTTGGTTGCTGCGTTTATGAATTTGTCTAGGAGGAGGGATTCGCACATCATCAGACCACAGGGCTGAGGTACTCCAAGTTGAACACCTTTCTTCTCTGTTTGTGTGGCTCGTTCAAAATGTTGAAGGATTAAACCCTCGCCATGAAATAGACTCTGCAGCCGAAATCAAAGTTTCTTCAGCAGAACGAACTATCCCACAAGCAATTCTGATGGAACTCCTACGCAAATGTCTTATTGTATCAGCTTCTGCTAATAAAAAGCTCATGGATTCTGCCGCCCATCTTGCACAGCTGACTGGGGACAGCTTCCTAGTGGGAAAACTGCACAAGCTCTCTTCGTTTGTTTCATCAAATTCAGATGGTACTGAAGAAGATACTGTTCATATAAATTCAAATAATCAATTCAAGAAGCAAGAAGAATCTATAAGTCAAGCAGCAGAGAAGCTAGAGCTGATTAAACGTCGCATAGTGAAGAGCAAAGTAGTGAAGAGGATCGATGCTGATGTCGGAGACACTAACAGATGGGTTCTGGCAAAATCATGGAACCAGTGTCCAATTGGAATGTTGCCTCGAGCTGTGGGGTCCTCTGGCCGCCTTCCTGTTCTGGACGTTAATGTTCCGGAAAAGGTTCCTGAGTTACTAGGAAGAAAAGAGAAGTGGGAGTTAAACCAATGCAGTGTCAAGAGACCTGGTTCCGATATGCAGCTCCTAGATAACCCATGTGTTAAGAAGATGAGGGCGACAGTGGATGGTTCCGCGTCGGAAGGTGAGGATGTTTCATCCTGGGAAGATGTCGACGGACATCTCATGATAGGCGGGGTGTGGAAGAAAGTCGGGGAAGAAGAGCTACTCGCCATCAAGTCTGCAGTGAGGATATTAATCTAGCCGCCGACGGTCGTCGACATTTTTCATCCTAGGAATACAAAGGGTAGATTAAATTTTGGAAGGTAACTGTGTTGGCTCGCAGGATAAGCTTCAAATCTGGGTTACAGTAGTTTTGGTTTATATTTTCCAGTGATTTATCTTTTGTAATTTAATTAAGAGACTGTTAGATGATTATTTATCTCTTAATCTTATGCTATTCAGGTAACAATAATTACTCGAATCTATTTTTTTATTTTTGGATCAAACTCGGTCGCTTGTTACATTCACAAAAGGGAAAATCCGATCATAGAAAAAACAAAGGAAAAACGAAAAGTATGAAAACACCTGAGAAGTGATTTATGCACGTTTGGTTTTTTCTCAGCATGTCCATTTATTTTTTATTTTTGAATTGAATAAATAAGAATGTACGGAAATTATCTTTCTCTGCCTACACTGCATATTATTTAGTTTTCATTGACAAAAAATGTGAATTAAATATCATCCTCCGTCTAATCTCATCTTATTTTGGGCATTAATTCATGTTTGTGAGACCAAAATTAACAAAAAAAATCATAATTAATCGAAATCCCATTTCAAAAGCAAACCTATTGAATTTACAAAATAAAGAATAAAATGAGCTTTTCATACTACATTTTGTTCATTACAACAAAAATCTACCTATTTCTAAACAAAAAAAGGCTTCCTTCGAATGGTACAACATAAATGCCGCTTCTAATCCCATCATTGGCTCAACTAAGTGCGAGTTAAGTTACATCAACCCATTGATACAACATTCGTCTGGGTACAAACATCAATCTTCGCTATATACCGATAATTTTCAGGCGGAAAGGGATGTCATCAATGGAAAGAGATCCTCTCCGGATCTCTTCCACCAAAGCCATCGGATCCGGGCCTTTGAAATTTCATCCAATGGCCTACCTGTTTCCAAATGTTTTATTTTTTCTATGGAAATGAGAAAGTATTAAATAAAGTAACCACGATTATAACCAGTTCCGATACAACCAAAGAAATATGCCTTATTTGCCATAGGAGGCAACGGCCTATCCCAAACATGAAAAACCATTAAAATGAAATCATGTATTAGTAATAGCACATGTCAAGAAATTTGCTTCTCTGTGTGAACACAGAAATTCCTGAAACAAGAACAACGTGTACAAAGAAAGATTTTGGTGTTAATGGATTTGTAGGGTTACAATCTCTTTATCTTGATCCTCTGATTCGATCTCCGTAAGGTGTTGATTTATGGATATTTTGTTGATCCAAGGGCCGTCAAGGTTTGATCTTGGATGAATAGTTTGAAGTTTCTTCAAGGGCTTTTGGGCTTGATCTTGAAGGTTGACGGATGAACAGATCTTCAAGGGCTTTTAGGTTTGATCTTGAAGAACGGTTGGATGTGTAGATTTGTTGATGTTGTTGATCCAAAGGGCCGTTGGGGCTTGATCTTAGGATGAACGGATGATGAACGATGAACACTTTCTTCAAGGGCCGTCGAGGCTTGATATTGAATTGGTGGAAGTTCTTCAAGGGCCGTTGGGACTTGATCTTGAAGGAGGATTTGACGAAGAACGAAGAGGGCTTTCTTGATTCTTCGGGATTTGCTTGAGAGCTTTAGAGTTTCAAAGCTTCAAGGATTTTGGATATGTGGGGAGTATTCTCTTCCATTTTGGAGTAGAGAAATGTATCTGTGAATTTTAGGATGATTGATACCTTGATGGAGAAGCCTATTTGTAGGCTTTGAGAATGAATTACCACCATCCATTTTTTTGGTGAAGTGAGTGGATGTTGTAGGTGAAGTGAATGTATGATGTTGTTGAAGTGAGTGTATGATATTGGTGGAATGAGTGGAGGTTGTAGGTGAAGTGAGTGTATGATGTTGGTGAAATGAGTGGAGGTTGTAATTTTAATGCGTTGGTGAAGATTTATTTACCGAAATTTCAATGTCTACACTCTGTAAACATGAGATAAAAAATTAGAGTCGAAAGAAGAGACCAACCACTTGATATCTTCAATAATATTTCTTAATTGCCACGGAATAGTACAAGAAACTTTGACCGCATCGATCACGAGCTTTGAGTCGCCCTCCACACACATCTTAAAACCTCTTCCTTTTGCCATCCAAAGTGCATCCCTTGAAGCAATCCCTTGTGCTACAGAAATTATATTTTCCCCCAGACAAGAAGCTCAAGCTACAATCGGAGTTCCACCTATTAGTACTGTGCCAAATGCTAAAATTTGACATACTACAAGACAAATTTTTTAGTTTTCAGACAGTTTTTCACCTAAAAAAAAGTGGTATAGGCTCAATAATTTAATTATATGAACATTTTAACCTTAAAAAAAATTCAAATTCCGACAAAAATAACAAAATCCCGGTTGGCAGTGGAAAATGTAAACAAAGAAATGCTGGGGGTTTCGGCAGCATTGAATTTTGGTACATTCAGAACCTACTCATGTTTGTAACGTTAAGAGTCGAACAAATTCAGGCAATTACAGTAGCAAGGGCGCGGAACCAAAATTTATGGCCGGCATGACTCAACTAAAATACCATCCATGCGTATACTAAAATGGAGTCGAAGAGGAAACAAATGACATGTAAATTCAAGAATCAGCTACCACGGGTCATTTTTATCTTCGGCATTGCCTTCTTCATCTGACGAGCACGCTCTTTTGCTTCTTTCTTGCGAATACTCTCTGCACTGAGCTTAGCCTCGACCTCCTCCATCATCTTTCTCCTCTCCGCCTTCTTTCTTTGCAATGCTTCTTGCCTTGCATTTTGGAGTTCTTTGTAAGCCTCTTGCGCCGCCTTTGATCTGATTGCTTCAGTTTTGGATCGAGCCTGCAACAATCAGAATTAGAAAATAGGACCAAATGGAAATTTTGTAGAAACTTGATTCCACAATATATCTGGAAGCTGACCCACCTGACTGCTTAGCTTGTAGCGCCCAATCAAATCAATATAATAAGGTACCAACGCCACCAGACGAGTCATATCAGCCATGTTACCAGCATCCGGTAGGGCAAACTTGAACAACAGCATCTTCTTTTGCGAGCCTGGATGTTGATCTGAAAAATGCATGTAGATGAAACCCTTTCCAAATTTCTGAAAAGCCTTTTCACCTAAAACCTGCAAATGCCAGTTCCATTAATACAAGGAACTAAGCGTAAACAAATAATAAAAAGTTGTGCGGAATCAAGAAACAGTATGGATAACTCATGCAGAATGGGACCTATGAGGAATAATGTAAAAGGGCTGAAGCACGATGAAGTTGAATGTTGCGGTATGGTTGCATAAAGTTTTATACATCCGATGCAATTCGATCATGTGATACACTAAATGGAAGTCAATTTGTACAGAAGAGATAACTTATAAACACAAGGACCTAAGAAAAATGCAAGACCCTTTTTAAACTAGAATAAATGTGATGAAGCAAGCGACTTTTCCATGGCTCTTATGATAAAGAAAACACAGGTTATCGTTCTCACAGATGAAGGCACCGACAAGGGAAGTACCCAAGGGCGAATCGTCTAGGGAAAACACAGGTTATCAGGTTATCGTTCTCAAAGGATCAACCATCTTAAACAGGGTTTAATCAGTAGTGGTCAAACAAACGAAGAAGAAAGATCAAAATCCCTTAGACAATTGAAAAAAGCAGTACCAAATTGATAATGTAATGTAATTCCACATTTAGAGTGTACTAAATTACTAATCATTTCGCCTAACAAACTGAGACTTGGAACCTCAGCTTGGCCATCCTCATGGAATTCCAACTGTTATGAAAAGCATAAGTTGTTCGGCATTATCATCGCAGAAAAGTATTCTTATTCTCGAGATAAATATGTGCATATACAGCCTATCTACCACTACATTCAAATACAAATTACACAATCAAATACATTGCATATGATCACGAAAATTACGAAACACTTGAAAGAAAACTCATTTCAAGTGCAAACTAACACGTAAACACACAAATCAAATACCATTTAACCGAAATTTGTACCAATATTAAATTGAACCGACCTGTTCGAGCACAGCCTCAGTGATCAAATCACCAGCCACTTCCTTCGATTCGGAGATAACCGCCAGGTCCTCAGAAACCCACTTCCTTCCAGTAGGCGGAGACAATATCCCGGCAAACTTCTGCAAGTCCCTAACCTCCTTCTGCATTGCCTTGGCCGACTTCTTCCTCGCCAAGGCAAAAACCACGTGGTCCATCGCTTCATCGTTCATATAAACCTCGATATTGATCTCGTCCCTACTGGGAACCACCAAGTTGAAAATCGAGGAGATCAAATCGTGGCGGCTCTTGAGCTCCATCGTCGCCAGAAGCCCCTGGCAGCACCTCCGCCCACTCGCGTAAAACTTGAACACGTTCTGCCCTTCCTTCAACAGCAAGGGCGGATCGTCACCAGCGCCGCCATCTCCGACGCCCAAAATACTGAAGTTCTTCTCGAAAATCGAGTCTTTGGTGGCGAATTTCGCCGCCCAAGCCAGGGCGATGTTCTCGTTCACCCGCTTCCCGGTGAAGTAGTTGATGATGAAGACGATCAGGAACCCTCCGCACGCGATCTCCACAACAAAGGATCTCGGCGCGGCGGGGGGCTTGGGGTCAGCGGAGGGTTTGGGATCGGAATCGGAGGAGGGAGTGGCATTTTCAGTAATTGCAGGGTCGTGGAGGGGCGGTTTCTGCTGCGGTAGGACGGGTAGGCCTTCGAACTCATCTTCATCCCAATCCTCAAAGCTGGTGGAGGAAGGCTTCGGAAGATCGGTGGATAGAGAATCCGAATCGGGAATCGGGTTGGGATCCGGGTCGGCTAGGGAGGGATCGGTGGAGGGAGGTGGGTCGGGTTGGGAGGTGGTGGTGAGGGAAGGATGGGTGCGAGTGGGGAGAGGGAGTGAGGAGTCGTCGTCGTCGGTATCGTCGATTTCGTCGGCGTCGTCGAAGCCTTCGAATTGGGAGTCGGCGAGGACGGAGGAGGGAGAGAAGGAAATGTGAGAGAAGAGGAAGAGGAGGATGAAGAGGGAGAGCAGAGAAAGGAGGCGCGTGTAAGAGAGTGAAGCCATCGCCATGCTTGCTGCTCCTGCTACAGAGAGAGCGTACAGGAAACAAGGAAGTGTATTCAGTGAACGTGGGAGATGGATACGAGGGTGTGACCAACTGGGTAATTATATTTTTTTCATATTTTTTTATATTTTAACCTGAATAACACATTACAAGTGACGTCAGTAAATGAAATAGTCAGTTAGTTAGTTGGCAAGGCGATACGTAAGATTAAACTCGTACTAAAATACATAGGCAATATTTATTTATTTTTCCATTGAAGTAAGGTGTCATCTGAATATTAGTCGTACACGTTACATTGAAAAAAATTTGCAACTTTTAAGCAAAGTAAATATTAAATTTGGAAAACTAGTAAATCAAATTCATGATGATTGCAGTAATGACCTAAATAAGTGAGTCTATTTGTCATGGCATAATGCTAAAAAGATCAAAATTGCAAACTAAATTATAGGAAATAAGCATATTAATCAACGTTTAAATAAAAATTTAATTATCAACATCATTTTGTTTAAAAATTTAGTCTCATTATTTGTCATGGTATTAGCTCTTGGGTGGATATGTTTAAGTGTATAATTATTATATTCTGAAATTGTATTTCTTCGTTTAAAAGTGTGTTTAAAATGACTGAAAGCACTTTTAATAATTGATTTTAGGGTTGAAGCACCAAATCCATCTAATTCAGTCTTTAAAACTAGTACAATACCCAAGACAAAAGCATACAAAAAGAAAAACCGATCCATGAACTCAACAGCCCAACTTGCATAAGATTTTATTAACTTTGATTTATATTTTGAGAACTTTAACAAAAAGCTCATGTTATTGTTAAACCACATTTTTACTTTAAAAAGTTAATTATGATACTATTCACTTTACCTTTTATTTTGTCATTATCATTAAAACTCAAAGTTTTCAAACTCTTCTCATTAGTTTTCTTTTATATTTTTTATCTGATTTCACATCGTGCATGAAATATTTGATTATTGTATAAACTAATGTTCTGTGTTATACTAATTTGATTGACTTATTCTTTTCTTCGTTGGTTATCATCCCAGACTCCCAGTACCTTTTCCTCCCCTTCCCCTTTGGGCGGCATGTTTCTCCGTTTCCTCTTCAAATTTAAGATTTTAGTTTTTTCGTCAATGAGGGAAAGTAGTTTGTAAATTCATGTATATTATACACATAATTACGTATTTTTCAAAAATATTTTTGTGTTCTGTACGCATCTTAGTAATTCATAAAGTTGCACGTCTATTAAAATTTTAATATATAGTACACATACTCAAGTACATATGTACTTTTCACGTTTAATAGATGTTACTACCACATATTTTTTTAAGAGAACTGCTATACCCGCTCCGTGACCTTTTCACAGTTTACCATTTCCACAGCTTCAACTGCGCTTTCAGGTCTCGGACATCTTGCTCTCCAAGTTCAAAAATCCACATTTACATGCACCCGAAAACAACTACTATGGAAGCAATCGGTGTACAAGTACAGTGGCCAAGCATCTTGGGGAAGAAATGGTAAAAGTTTATGAAGCAAATTATCTTAAATTCAACAGTAATTAGTCACAAGTCATCCTACATACAGCATAGTCTGTCGACTGCAGCCACAGCATCACATTGAATACGTCATAGATAACGGGGAACAAAATTCAGATCGCCTCTGCTAAGAAGAGCAATGCGTAATCATTTGCCAAATTGGATGGCGACGTTCCTTGTCTTTATGACTCTTGAGCACGATACTCAGCCCGAACCTTAACATCAAACAACGAATGCTTTGTCCTTAATTAACCAGAGTGGCAATGATATTGTTATACAGAACATTTACCGGAAGCAGCATAAAAGCGAGAGGGGCAGTGAATACCTGCTGAATGTGTTGGGATTTATGCTCTAATACAGAATGAATCCTCCCAAATGGTGGTGAACTTGTCAGTTTGATAACAGTCAGCAGCAAGCTCCTTGTGCAAATCACAAAAGAGTTAACCGCAATCACGAAGAGAAAAGCATGTGTCCCCAGTCTGTGATCGAGCAACTGTCCGAATCAAGAACATGAAGACATACCTTTGATGCTAATATATTATTGTGGGGGCCTGTCTTCTTCTAACAACAAATGGATAATCGACCTTAAAACCTCATTATGAGCAACGGTGGAATTCTGAAAATAAAAAAAAGGGCAAGAAAATGCAAAAACAAATTGTTATAAGGTTCTAAATAAATAACTATATGATAGCATAAGCCAAACTAAATTGATACTAAGGATTGAGTTTAGAGAAATGGGTTTTCGGATTAGCATGGGACAGTGAAATCTAGCTCACGACAGACAACTCATGCTTTATGCATTGAGAATGATAGAGGCAAGTGAAAAGTAACGGCACAACTAGATATTAATACGCTAAGGATACATTTGTAGCAATTGACAAGTAAATTACAACTTAGAAGCAACCTGAAATTACCTCTGGCTTTCTTATCAATTCCTTCAGAACGGAATGAAGAGTTAAACGGAGTTCCTTGAACAGAACAGCAGTTTGTGCTGGCGCCGTCAGTTTTAACCATCCATCAACAATAACAAGTCCCGTCTGAAAGATGAAACATCAATGCATAATAAAATAACTGAATCCATTTTTGCTTCTGCAAACCATAGAAATGGGAGGAAGAATTGGAATATAAAGACAATAGCACATAAACTCATCAAAGTCATCAAGCATGAACTGAAATGACATGTCCAAGAACCGGATACATTAATTCAAAAATTATTCACACCACTTGGGTGAAGCAGGCATAGCTCATACAAACCTCAAGCGGATAGAAAGATGTCAAGATGACAAATTCTTAGCTAGCCATAGAAAAGGCCCAATTGTACTGCTTTGTTTCTTTCCCCTTTTCTGATTTTCTGCTTTTTTTTTTTATGGTTTGTTATAAAATAAGGGGAGTGATTGCTCAGACTTCTCTCAGCGAAGTATTTATAAGATTATAGATTCCAGGAGTTCTTTGACCAAGGAACACTTGGTGGTTTGTCCTCTGGTTCAATTACACAAAGGTATAAAACAGACATCAAGATCATGTTATTGGACAAGGTCAAAAGGAGCACTGACCTGTCAACTGAAAAGAGCTAGAAGCATTTACATGTTCAGATTCACATACTTTAAATGCATGGTTTTCAAATGCACATATTTTATGTCTGGGAGAACATTAAAAACTAAAAAGAAAAGAACATACCTGATGCTGGATGTTGATGGAGCCACCAAACAGCAAAATAGAGTTGGGAGAAATGACTGTAGTATCTCGGAGAAACACTTTGTTGGTTTCGACCTGTGGAAATGATATATTAAACTCTCATCTTTAAGTCCAAAGAATCAGTAGGCTGAACAATTATTGTAGGAAATGTATTTATGTACAAAATTTCGTCCAACTCTCTCTCTCTCTTTCTCTCTCTCCACACTTAATAGAGAGATTAGAAAGGTCATGCTGCGAAGGTTATTATTTTCCTTTCTGCAATATGTAATTATTAGTGAGGCAAGGGTATGCCGTATTGATTACTTGTTTATTCCCTTTGTTGTTATAGTCACCATCACCGTATTACTGTGAGAAAATGTAAACAAATTAGATTCAAAAGATAATAGTGCACAAACCTTTTCGAGGAAGACGAGGAAGGGGTACCGAAATTCTTTTAAATTACTGTTGATAGAAGAAGGGTGTATACTAACTTCTCTTCTTCCATCAAACCAGATTGGGCGTTCCTTAGTTGCTAGACCGGCAGATTGTTTAAGGTTACTGAGAGATGCTTCAGCAATGCCTTTCTCTGTGGCTGCAACATTAGGATATAAACCTGCACATAATATTGCCTGCAAGGAAAGGGTAGACTTCAATTCAAAATCAGTTGTTTGATATGAACTCCTCAGTTACCTAAGTGACAGGCACATACTTAGGGAAAATTCTCACTTGAATAACGACAATAGTTCACAACACGCAAGTAGAACAAAGGTTAATATCTCACTACTAAGCATTCAACTCTATATATGTATTGAAGAAAAAATCCGAGGTGAAATGAAGCTGCAAAATGTTAAGATAAATTTTGTTGGAACTTTCCCATACAGATATTTCCCATCAGCTTAAGTTTTCAGTCTGTAATGGTAGTCTAATTTGTTATCAGATCTTCAGTTCGAATAGGTCCTGGGTTTGAATCATCTCTGCCCCATTTCCCAAATTATTTGTTACTTCTACGCTTGTATGTTCGTCTACCTCTCCACGTGCGACTGCTTGTGAGGGAGGATGTTAACTTGATATGTCCTATCCCATGACAGGTTAAGCTTTATGGGTACAGTGATGTTTAACAAGTTTAATTTAATCTCACCCTAAGCCTTAGCTTAAGCGATAATGGAGTTAGGTAGGGTGAGTAAGAATACTAACTTCAAAGAAAATAGTTTGAAGATGACTGGTACGATATCAAAGGAAGATTTTATAATATAACTGTCTTGGTTGTTTAAAAACATTATCAGGCTACATTTACAATGATGTACTGTTCTCTAAACCTGAATTATGAATAAGTATTCAAGTAAACCAAAGAATGGTCCCTAAGAAATATGTGAAATCACATACAAGAGAGAAACACCATAATAATAATAATTACAATACTAATGCAACATGACATACGACATAAAGTGAGGAGCACCGAACAATCCTCTGCTGATTCAAGATAATATGCAATGACCAAACTTTACCATATACAGCGCAGATCAATGCGTAAAAACAGAGACAAATCAGTCTACCACTTCCTCAGAATCAAGCCAGAAAGAACTTCATCAAAATCACAAACCTTTATAAGCCATTGAGTTTTACCTTTACAATTGATGAATGGTTTGAATACATATTGAATGGTTGTGATGCATCTGAAAACCAAGTATCAAGATTCTCTTTCTTTCTCCCATCAACCTGAAACAAGACACAGTTCCTAGGTTTAACTCAAAGCTTCTGATAAAACTCTAGTTTAGTCTGGATAGTAAACTATCTGACATAGAAATTTTGCAACTTTGCATAGCAGAAAATAGCGTATGGGAGCATAAGATTGACTAACAGATCAACATCTTGGCATCAGCGGAACTTTGGAGTTTTAAGGAACAGACTGTTCCACAGATTTGACATAATGGGAAAAAATATTTAGAAGTCAAGGTTGAAGGGGGTGACTTCCAGCTTCACATGTTTCTTCATTTTTCAAGAAACACTGCATTGTTGGTGGAACAGATGTAGAACAAGTAACGAATATATAGAACGTAGCAACGATTTTAGAATAGAAGAGGATAAGGGATCCAGAGAAGAAGAATAGAAGGGGAAGAAGAAGAAAAATACTGACATCATAAGGATAAAGAATAGAAAGAGAGTATTCAAAACAGAGTTTAGAGAGGAAGAGGTAGATGAAAGACAGAGAGAAAGATATGCATGGAAAAAAATTTGTGTATCCAACCATTCAATTCTGCCACTACTGAATTACAGTGGATGCCCTATAATGACAAAATCTTGCTACAAACAGGAAAGCAAACCTAACTGTGCTAGAGACAGGAAAGTAAACCATATATTTCTAGAAACAGGAAACTGATAAATAAAAATAGGAAGTATACTAGAATACCCCTTTCCACTTTCCTAAATCCTAATTCATCCTACACAAGAAACAGGCAGCTGTTTTTGTTTATTCACGCTGATTCTGTGTTCCTTCAGTTGTAAGTTTACTTGCATGTTTTCATCCAATCCAATGGAAGAGAACCCTCCCTCCCTCCCTCCCTCTCCCTCCCCTAAAGGCTTCCTTGATTTCCCAGTTAGAAATCTAGGCTCCAACGGTGATTGGAGTAAATCGTTTATATCACTAAACAAAAGTGACTGTTGTAAAATACTAGATCCTTTTTGGAAAGAGAACTGATTTCTGCACACTCCCTCCCTCCCTCCCTCCCTCCCTCTCCCCTAAAGGCTTCCTTGATTTCCCAGTTAGAAATCTAGGCTCCAACGGTGATTGGAGTAAATCGTTTACATCACTAGACAAAAGTGACTGTTGTAAAATACTAGATCCTTTTTGGAAAGAAAACTGATTTCTGCACACTCCTTTTCCTTCATGCATACCCTATTTTGTTTATGACCTTTGGATTGAATTAAACCTAGGAAAATCAAGGGAGAAAAATTAATGGGGTGTGCAGGAGGAGAAAAGGTGTGCTGAAATCATCTCCCTTTAAAAACCCATAAAATCATTAACAATGAAAAATAATGCATGTGACCAGAACCCTACATGTTGTATTACTACTTTATAGAGTGATTACAATTTACCCTCCCTCCCTCCCTCCCTCCCTCTCCCCCTCTCCCTCTCTCCCTCTCCCCTAAAGGCTTCCTTGATTTCCCAGTTAGAAATCTAGGCTCCAACGATGATTGGAGTAAATCGTTTACATCACTAGACAAAAGTGACTGTTGTAAAATACTAGATCCTTTTTGGAAAGAGAACTGATTTCTGCACACTCCTTTTCCTTCATGCATACCCTATTTTGTTTATGACCTTTGGATTGAATTAAACCTAGGAAAATCAAGGGAGAAAAATTAATGGGGTGTGCAGGAGGAGAAAAGGTGTGCTGAAATCATTTCCCTTCAAAAACCCATAAAATCATTAACAATGAAAAATAATGCATGTGACCAGAACCCTACATGTTGTATTACTACTTTCTAGAGTGATTACAATTTACTTCGGTTAAGAATTTATAAGGTCTCTGAGTGATCATACATCCTCAAACTTAACAGTGTCAGTTGAAAAGTCACTGGCCAGCAAAAAACTAAAAATTAATAAAAGGAGTTTAATATTAAAATTTCCAACATCGCGCAAACTAATTTTACTACTAAAGTGAAATAGTGAAGCACTACCTTATTTTTTCTCGGAAGGTCAATGAGCCCAATAACTGCTAGCAGAGTCCCAAACTGTATCCTCATGTCTCTGAATAATTAAACATATGAAGAGGAGTTGATGGATTATAACAACTAACCAAACAAGAAAAAGGACTCTTAACAAACATTGACATACAGATACATTAAGTTCTGGAGAAAAGAAGCTGCACCTTATCATGTACATGACGGAACTGCTCAAGAAGTATGAATTGCAAAAATTTTGCGCAGCCTTAACCCCTTTCTACAACAACCAAACTTATCCATGTCAGCAAACGTTGTGTTCTACCAATAACATGTCAGAATACATTCAACAACTGAACTGTTTCACTGGCAATGGTATAAGAACTTCACATGCATGTATGCTTTAGGCAGGCTATAAGAAGTATGTGGCTATGATCTCATGGCATGAAACAACCAAATAGTATCATGATTCATGACATATGATCCAAATTGGTATTGGCCTCAGGATTTGTGTGCACATGGCACATGCACACTCAAGCCCTTGCATGCAAAGTGCAAACAAACATATGACAAACCTCACGTAGAATCTTTTCCCATTTACTGTAAGCACTCATCATTATAAGATGGTCTGATTGCCTGTCACTATCATTTGATTCACTTGGACCGTCTAGCTTGCCGGTCAAGAGTGCCAATTTAGCTCTTTCAACATTTTGTCTCTGTAATTTAAATGTAGTGATATAGGATAAGTATATAATTGAAGTTCCTCTCTATAGAAATAATTAACAGTAACTTATATCAGCATTGAGAGAGGGACCTCGTCTTTGGGATATATAAATGGAGATTTGTAGCTCAAGAATGCTGAAATTGAGAGAATCGGCGACAAGCAACCAAATATTCCCCCATATAACATCATCTGCAGTTCCAAAAGAAACAGCATGAGAAATCAGTATCAAAAGATTTTACATCAACATCATCTGCAGTTTCAAGTCTTTACATCAACATCATACAAAGGCTACCTGAACACATGAGTACCAAAATGTAAAGCCCTAGACTAATAAATTGCCTTTTACTTTTTGAGGCTGCAGTTGTTATTCACACGCATCCTATTGAGTGCGGGAAGGAAAATTGCATACCTTCCCAATCAATACATCAACGGGAAGTTTTGCCAGATGATGCCCAAGAGGAGTCAACTCTTCATCTGCTTCAAGAGCACCAACCTATAAAATAAGCCCAGTAGTAAAGATTCAGCTTACAATGTGTCGGCATTCCTTCTTGGTGCCCAAATAAATGAGCATGTGCTGACGAGTTTACACAAATATAAATTGCAAGAATTTTCACTATATGCACAAAAGTTGATTCTACCGCTACCATGACTAATGCAAATAAAGAGAATCAGCTTTTTCTGGATAAAGAATAATGAAATTTATTGTGGATATGCATAATACAAAAGTATGATGAATTATGAAAACTTAGTACTTTCCTGTTTTGAAAATAAAAGTATGAAGATAAAAGACAGGAGAAACTCATTGCAGAAACAACAAAGAGAAAAAAGAAAGAAAATGATTGACCTCTTCCCCAGGAAGAAAGGGAAAAAAAAAAGAGTAGGAATTAACATTGATCCCAGAACAATTGGCAACAAACTCATGAAGCCAGTAACTGGGACAGATTATTTTTCCAGAGTTCATCAGTTCCACTTTTTATCTATATCTGGAACGGATAACACATTCAAACCAATGCCATAGCTGTTGAGAATAATGTTTAATTTTAGTTTTGTGGGAAATAAAAACTTTCATTAAAAATACATGTACAAAACTCTTCGTGGTATTTTTATTTTTCCAGAGTTCATCAGTTCCACTTTTTATCTATATCTGGAACGGATAACACATTCAAACCAATGCCATAGCTGTTGAGAATAATGTTTTATTTTAGTTTTGTGGGAAATAAAAACTTTCATTAAAAATACATGTACAAAACTCTTCGTGGTATTTTTCCTGGTCCTCCTATACTCATCCTTCTTTACAAGACCCTTCCTAGTATCCTGAAACAAGTGCCTCCACCCAAATGACTGGTAATCTGAATCTCCTACAACAGCACCTCCCTATACTGGTAAAATGATTCAATTCACCTTGGCAATGGTGACTAGAGGCCTATCTCCTGTATAGGTAAAATGTCACTTTCCTTTGGCTCCAACTTATGTCTATGTTGTTCCTTCTATGCATAGGAATCTGTTGTCTATTGCTCAACTCTATTGCGACAATAATGTCTTTGATTCTAACCATTTTTAAGTCTTTGATCAGTCTATGTTCCATTCCTTTTTCAAGGGTCTAAGTAGGAATGGTCTCTATAAGTTTCCTTTCCATCTTGAATTCAGGCTTTTTCTGCCTGAAATAATGTTTATGGCATAGTCATATGGGTCATCCTTCTAGTCAAATAATGTCTTACTCTTTGGCAAAATCATTTTTTAGATTCTAGTTTTAAAATTCAAAAATCGTGTTGAAGAGTTGTGCCTAGGGTCTTCTGATCTTATGAAACGTTTGCTTCAATTTGAATTGTAATTGGGGGGAAGTACCTTGTGCATAATGCATGTGCAATTGGCTTTAGTTTAGAAGGTTGAAAGACAACTACTACATTGGAGGACCAAAGAAGGTTAAAAGAGAATAATTATAAGTTGACATCTGATGTGTTGGATAAATAAACAAAACAAGAATAAATTTTGTTTCACTCTAATGCTTAGGCATTTTCTTCTATTTCAGACAATATTTTGTTTCACTCTACTCTAATACAACGAATCAACAGTATGACAAATTATATCATTATGGAACCAGAATAAATTTATGGGATGTGCTATCCACACACCTCATTTTACTTCTCACACACCCCTTGATAATTTATGTCCGTTGATATTCTTTAATTCATCTGATCGGACGGCCGAAAATTAAAAAGGTGTGTGAGAAGTAAAATAGGGTGTGTGGATATCACACCCCTAAATTTATTAGTGACTGTAGGTTATAAAGCAAGAAGTGAATACAAAATGAAGAGCTTTAGGATTTAGTCATAGATTCAATTGTTTGTATGCATTGTGGTTCTGATTTGAATAGATAAAACTATACCTCATACAATAACTTAATTGATGAGGTCATAGCCTCTTCCCTTGGAGGTTCTAAAGCCTGATAATAGAAGTAAACAACCCAAACCGGTCAGATGACATCATCATTAAACAAACCTCTTATAAAAATATAACATGACTTACCTCGGATAAAAATGACTTTATGTAACCCAGAGAAAGCAACTTAATTTGTAAACACAACTCTACTAATGGCATTCGAAGCATCTCCGGAACCTTGGCATAATTGTACAGTACAGTTAGAAATTATATAAGCTGATATTTGACTGTTTCTTATATAAAAACTTAAATAAAATAACTGATTAAGTGGATAGCAGTAGAAAGCATATGAAAATTGCCCCGTCTTAGAAAACCATTTTAGGGGCAAGTACCTGAAAAGGCCGCATGAGCTTTTCAAATCGATAACGTGTATACAAGCAAAAACAAATTCCAGGTTTCACACGTCCAGCTCTTCCTCGCCGTTGCCTTGCATTTGCTCTAGATATCCAATCTTCGACCATGCTTGACAATTTCTGCAGTTGTTAGTAAACCAAATATTAGACCCAGCAACACCAAAGGTATTCTAACATCCATGGAGACACAATTCTGCAGATGGTATCTGCTGATAAATCCAGTGGAGACATATATGCAACGAAAGGTAAAATGAGATTCTAAGTTACTCAAGTTTTTTTTCGCTTTTAGGAGACAGATTTTATATCTAAACAAAATTGAGAACATTCACAGTGAGCAAGATGGCAAATTCAACAATACATAACCGAATTAGAACAATATATCGTCCCTCAAACAGCAAAAAGTAAATAAAAATATTTAGATAGATAACAAACAGCAGCTTTCCAATATGCCAAATAAAAGGACATTGTATAACCCAAAATTAGATTCAACTTCTTCAGGGTCAACCTTTTATTTTGATTTTATGGAGTGAAGACAAGAAGAGTGGATGCAAAGTTGCAAACTGGCAAAGGGGCAAGGACGGTTATCAGGAGAACTAAAGTGAGAGACATCGTGCACACACAAACTAGTGTAGTTCTATCGTCTTTGTCAGTTCTACTGAAACCATTATTAGATAACACAATGTTCTGAAGGTAACACCAGAACGGTATGAAACCTACCATGTGTTAAGAATGAAATCTGGAGTGCTAAATAGATTATACAGTGGGCTTCCATGGAAATGGAAATGTTTAGCACCAGCACCAAATGAAAAACAATACAAAATTGGGCTCCTTCCATACAGTACTAAGCTTCTAGCAACAAATATAGAATAAAGTACAAATCTGAAAGAGTGCCGAAATTATTGCAAAAAGAAAGGCCTAATGTGTATGATGTATCTGAATATAGATACTACAGAAGCCACATCTAAAATACTAAGAAAGTCACAATCAAAATCAAAAGAATCACGTGGTCATTCATTAAAAACGTTAAAACAACAAACCTTTTGTGGATTATAACGATTCTCCTTATGCTTTCCACAGTCTATAACATATACCACATCATCTATTGTTATGCTGGTCTCTGCAATGTTTGTAGCTACAATGACCTATTAAGATATTGAAACAAAACATCAACGAAATTTATAGCAAGCCAAACAAAAACAAAAGCATTATGCACTAAAATTTATTTACGCATCGATGTTTTAATCAATGTAAGCATTTCATGAATTGTTTTTGTTATTCATTTTCATTGAGCAAGAGTAAAGTACTGGTTGTTGTTTAGCTTGTATATATGTTAGTACACTTTGCCTTGGTTGACTGCTTTTGAATACACTTTTATATTTCTGTAACTCTTTTTTTTCTCGCAAAACAGTTCCATTTTCCGATATGAAAAAATTGGTAGTTAATCTGAGCGAAGCTGTCCATCTAGATCTGCTTCGTCAATATGAATAACCAGCCAGACTGGATGAAGACAAAATTCGGCAAAAATCATTTTTCCAACTCCGTTCTCTCCGCTGATGGAATTATTTGGGTTATACTTACGAAACATTAAAAACTGATGCATGAAACATGAAAAAAAGCCATACATGATATACACACGAAAAGATAATGCTAAACCTTTTCAAGTTTCCTTCTTCCGAAGTTTAAACTCTTAGTTACAAGACTGGAGGTTCACCTTAAATTTTATTTTCTACTTCGGTTGGACTTTGGTAATCACCTCAATTCATTTATTTTCTAATGAAATATCCAGCTATCATTTCCTAAGTTTAAATGAACTTTCAGCTTTTACCCTGAACTTAAATGATGTTTTATGAAACAACTGTAAGCAAATTGCTGTAACAACTACATACGTTAAAAATTTCCATTTATGTAAAGATAAGAAGTGCTGATTAGAACAATCTAATGAACAACCACTCCAAAGGTATAACAAACAATCTAATGAAGAACCACTCAAATTCTATAACAAGTACCATAATAAAAGGGTAAAACAATAAATAAAGAGCAAAAAGAGAGAAGAAATTAAGTGGAAAACATGCCTTCCGTATGTTCTCAGGAGCCCGTAAAAACACCTTCTTTTGATCAGTTGATGCAACGGAAGAATGTAGTGGAAGAATCCAATCAGAAGCTGGTCCACCAAATCGATACGAAGCAGATAGCTTATCAACTAAAGTGTAAATTTCAGATACTCCCTGTTAAGGAACATTTAAGTACAAGAATAGTAATATGTTATTAGTGGCGAGGCAAACACAATTACATGTATGACCTATAAGCGCACATAAGTGTGAAGAGGTGGATGGCTTACAGGCAAGAAGACAAGTATGGCTCCCTCACTGCAAGTTTCATCAACATGGCACACCAAGTCTTCAAGAAGATCATAATCAATGACATCTTCATTCACTCTTTGCTGTACAAATTTTGATTACCATGTTATATGGTCCCCTTACGAAGAGGGAAAGAAAATGAACCATATCTCCAGAAACAAAATCTCAAAGGCAATTACCAAGTTTTGTCGAGTTTTCTCTTTGTACGATTGATAACTATCTGGTACATAATACGGATTTATAGTTTCTTCAGAGAGCAGAGAATCATCACCCCAACCAGATAAAACAAGATTCTTCTTTCCCCTGCGGTTGTTTACAGGACCAGCCTGGTGTTTTCAGAATGCAGGAATTTGAAAATTAGGTAATGAACATCAAAATGTTACTGCATGACCGTGACTTAACCATAGTAGAAGAATCTCAAAGAAATTAAAAGAAAAATTGTGGAATAATATGGCTGCAATTATTCAACCCAAATTCCAATCTAGTGTGTATAGTAATACTATGAATATTGGGAAGACTAATAAGTACTCCTCATCAAAAAATTATGAGTGAACACTGAATAACCAGGTCCAATAAAACGTTGCAAACATATAACATGGTTTCTATACAGGCATTCAAATCTTGTAATGATCATTTTGGTGTTGACCTTGTGCTCATTTATAGAACTACGTAGTTTTACAACTCTATATATTTTTTGGAATGAGGGTAAGGCTAGCCGACATTCACCTCTCCCAGACCTTGCGTAAAGCGGGAGCCTTGTGCACTGGGTACGAGGGTTTAGAACTTGTTTGACTCAATCAAGTATTAAACGCTCACTCCAAAATGCTTGACCCTTAAACCCCCAAACGATGTTGTTTCGAACATTAGCCCAATATTAGAACCAAAAACATAGGTGATCCTATTTCCCAAAGTAGACATGTAATATGTGATAATTCAGATATTCAAAGAATTTACTGCACATGAATCCATAGAAAAGGAAAGTTAAAGAGAAAAGATACTTTTGGAAAACAGAGAAACTTCTCAGGACTAAAAGATGAAAAGAATGAAAGAGAGGTGTACAATTTGGGTCACCTTTTCTTTGGTCAAAGCTCCATATCTCATGGAAGCTGGAGAGTCTGAAGCAATCTGATAATCTATGCTTTCGTATATATCCTCAAGATAGTATGTTGTGACAGGATGTGTTCTGCCTTCTGCAGTAATCACTGGGCAATTACCAAAGTATCTCGAAAACAAATTTGAATCAACAGTTGCAGACCTGTATAAATGGGAGGTCAACTATCAACACAATTTTCTAAACACACACATTTATGTAATATAAATTTGAGGAAATGTAGTACAGACATACATCAGAATAACCTTCAGTTTTGGTGTGTTAAGAGCTGATTGCTTCTCAATCAGATTCTTCAACACTATGAGCAGGAAATCACCCTGTTTATAGGAAGCGAAAAAAATATCAATCTGTTAGAATTCCTTTTTTTACCAGGTTACACTTTTTTTCTTAATTTCATCCCTTGACAAGGAGACGCATTCTGACAACACTCAGGAAAACGTAAAAGTAAAATGATTTGTGAACCCAGTAAAAGTAAAAATGAAATTAACAAGTTATGTGGTATTTCTCTTCTATAACATTCTTTATTTTCTCAATTTTCACCGCTTGACAGGGAGATGAATTTTCTAACAACACTCAGAAAGGGAAAACAATCTGTGAACCACTAAAAGTTATGTGCTGTTTCTATAACACACGACCATCTGTACTTGCCCCCACCTCCCCTTTCCTCCCATGAAAAATGAAAGGCAAAAACCAGCTGTGTTAAGCTTCACTTGGTATTGTTCATCCATAACATTTCAAAAAAGAAAAAGTAAAGATGTAAACCAAAGGAGTCAACCTCTTTCACCTATTGTTCAAAAAACAAAAAATTATGATTTTCATTCAAAAGAAAAAATATAGTATAGCAGAGGATACAAGATACAAGTCACTGTTTTTTTTTTTTAATGAAATTTTTGTTTCTTATATATAAGAATAATGGGATCACAAAATAGTTATAGGATGCCGTGTCTTTTTTTTTTTTTGGAGGACATGGAAGGTTTGTGCTGGCCATGAGCATGAATAATACCAACAAATATTTCTCAAAACCACCATGGGAACCTATAAACTACTAAAGCTACTACTCACCAAAAGAGACCGCTCATGTACTTCATCAACTATGACATGAGTAACTCCTGTCAAGTTTTTATCCCCCTGCAAATGAAAAGCTGTAAGTATAAGATTTGTTTAGTATCTTCAATGAGATTTTCAACAGATAAAGCATTGAGCGAAAGAATTTTCATCACTCATGCCACACAATAAGTGTATTGCTGAAGATACATACATGTCATGATCTTGCACTCACCAATGGGCACGAATATTCATGCTCAATGATCATCGTTAAAATTCAACAGTTTATTCAAGAAATAAAATTACATTACCAGGATTTTAAATATCAGTCATTGGATTTTGAACCCACATTTGGTGAACAATGATTTAGTACTCACGAGTGACTACGGAGTTCAAAGCAAACTTCAAACATACATAAATAAAAGATCTCTTAGATGGCTGTCCACTCCACTTTTTACAAATTTTAGGGCCAGAACAAAAATCCTTTTTTTACGAATATGTGAACCAAGCCTAAGAAGAGGTCGCACTTGGTGCGATGGCAAGTGCCTTCGCCCATGAGCGGTAGGTCTCGGCTTCGAGACTTGGGAGCAGCCTCTCCATAAATGGGGGTAAGGCTAGCCGACATTCACCTCTCCCAGACCTTGCGTAAAGCGGGAGCCTTGTGCACTGGGTACGACCTTTTTATGTGAACCAAGCCTAAGCCCCTTGAATATCAATTGAAAGGGTTTCAGTTGTGAAACCTAACAAGTGATTTATCGTACTTTGAACTCAACAAAAAAAAAAGTGATTTATCTCCAATAATGTTCAAACAACATGAATATATTTGGCAATGAAATCTACAGTCCTCTAGTTTCTAAATAAGAAGACTAAATTAAAGTCTTACCACAAATTTTCTCAGAAGAATGCCCGTCGTACAAAAGAGAAGCTTAGTCTTGTCATTGCTGACATAAGAGAAAACCAGAATGCAAATTTTGGTGACAAAACAAAAGACCACCAAGATGCAAATAATAATAAGAAAATTAAAGTAATGAAAACTTTGGCATACAAGCATAACAACTCACCAAAAGATCAGACAGATTAATAGATGTCCATACTAGTGCAGATAAAACATAAAAGACACAAACTTTTACGTTGATATGGTGTAGTTTCATGTAAATGAGTAGAACAAACAAATAAAAAAAAGAAACACCTTGCACTATCGAGACGAACTTGATAACCAACCAAAGAACCTTTTGAACCAGGTGAAGGTTCACAGCGCTCATCAGAAACTCTTTCAGCCACAGAGATAGCCTACAATACAAAAAAAAAAAAAAAAAAAAAAAAATACTCACATGAGCAAGTAGTTAGAACCATTATACCTTCTAAAATTTGCCAGAGCAGAGTCCACCGCAAATACAGACTAATATCCGAACATGATTTAATTAAAAGCCAGATAATAGCATCACACCTTTACTAGTAGGGCTTATTTAGGCCATTTAAAGCGTGATACTTAAATAAGGGAAAAGACAAGCCTATTCAAACTAGTCCCACAATTATTTGAAGACTTTGAAGGTTATATCAATAAGATAATAGAAGAAGTTGGTTTAGCTAGCTAATTAGTTGGTCTGAAAGACAAATGTGGTACGTTTGATAACTAGTTTTTTATTTTCCCTTTTTGTGCTTAAGATATGAGTATACGAGGAAAATGAGAATGGAGAAGGGTTATGAAAGAAAGGGAGGTAAGAAACAAAGAAGAAATAAGGATAACTTTTACGAAGTAAAAAATTAAAATAGTTTTGGTTGACGGAAAATTTAGAGAGTGAGGGTAGGAGGGGAACGGGAAAAGAGAGAAAAATGGAGCTAGGTGGTTTGTAATTGCTTGCATTTTTTTGTAGCAAGCCTTTATTTATAAGGAAAACTAATAAAAAATCCTCAAAAATTTTAATTTTAATCAAAATGACAAAATAGTGTTGTAAGTGAATAGTATTAAAAATGATTTTTCAGTTTAAAAATATCTTTAACATTAAAAGTAAACCGTACCATAAGTGTTTCATTAAGACTCCTTACAAGATACAAGTTATGAAGGGATTTGATCCCTGATATTATAGATATTCTACTTCTTGATTTACGCAACCACACTATTAAATAATGGACTTGGATTGTCTGCCCTCCCATTTCAGTATCCTCCCCGTGCCCTTTTGTTTTGTGTGGTCACGGTTAAGCCACGTCAACATTTTATATTGTTTTTTTATAAAAATAATAAAACAAAAAGAAATAGTAATATAAAATGTTGACGTGGCTTAACCGTGACCACACAAACAAGAGGGGCATGAGGAGGACACTGAAATGGGAGGGCAGACAATCCAAGTCCTTAAATAATATCAACTACAACAGTTTTTTGGTTTTAGATTTCTTTTCTATCTGTTCTCTTATATATATATTTTTTTTCATATCTTTGACCATTCTTCCTCCACTTTTTATACCGCCCGTTTCTCCTCTGTATTTCCCTTTTTCTTAAATACACACCAAAAAAAAAAACAAAAATTTAGGTTGCCTAATAAAGAAAACTAATCCGAAAGTGAATATAACTTAATATATTAAACTCATGAATGTCGTACTAATATATTGAACTCACACTAATATAGTAGTAGTATTATAGATATTAAATTCAGGTTGCCTAATTTCTATATATAGTCATCATACTCACTCAAACTATTATTGAAAATCTTAGTATCTTTCTCATTATATAAAAACATCACATAACGAGAGAGATATTGATAGGAGGACGTTTGGTTATGTGACAGCAGCATCATGAACTTCTTTTTCATGCTAAAGATAAGAAATTTCAACTTCAAGGTCCATGTTTGGTCAAAATAAGAAAAGAAAGGTCCATGGTGACTCATAATACTAATCTAGTTTCTGGGTCAAAGTTGCTTATTGAAGGTTGCTGAGGTTTTTGATGATAAAATTTAGTACTTAATAATTAATAATTAAGTTAAGACAATATCGATGATGTTTTAATGGTGGACTATATTGCACCAACAAAATTTATCACATATTACACGAAAAGGTAAGAAATTTGAACTTCAAGTGCATTTTTAGAGATTCCAGTTCACATGTGAATCCTTCTCCAATAATTGAACTTGAGATCCAAGACAAAAAAAATTATCATGTATGCATGAACAAGTGGCGTACAGTAAAGCCCTCTGTCCAAAAACGATAAAACAGATTGCATGAATAGTAAAACTTCAAATGGAACCTTTGTAATAGAGTTTGTTTCCATTTCACTCGAGCAAGTTGAAAGAAAGAAACTGTAGCTAGCTGCTGCCTGCTGGCTCCTGCAAAACGAAATATGCTTTTGGTTGTCCTTAAATAAAAAGACGTAGTGTATCACCCGTATTCCGGTCACAATAAAAAATTTCTCGTAGTAGTAGGTCAAAGAAAAAACGGGTGGGCAACTTCTTTGAAAATAATTCAGGTTTCAACTAAGCGGTTGAATTAGTTTTGCTGATAAGGTATGGACTAGAAACACTTAAAAACTCCATTTTGAAGACGAAACTTAATCTGGGATCAATTGTTCTACAATGCATTTTTGCTCACCACCATGTTAATAGCTGTTAGATGAGTATTATTTAATCTATTTGCTACACGAGTTTTGAAATTTAAACTGATCTAATGACAATTCATCTATTCATGCATTGCGCTATATATGATATTTAAAGTTGCTCTTGTTGTCGCGCACGGGGGGAGGGGGGTTGGTGTGTGTGGACATCTATCCAAGAAAAAGATGTATATGTATTGTCTTTAGTTTTTTTGGTAGCTCCTTGGTGCAGATGTATGTCCTTAGACTAGTGTTTCTTCGTGCTTTGTAGCTTCTATAGTTTTAACTATTAAGGAATCTCCTACATCAAAGGAGATCAGTTCGTCAACAACACAATCTGCTCCATCAACCGCACAATCAGCTCTTCCGTATGAAAGTCAACTATGATATATGCTATGCTGTCTTTCCTATTCTATTTGATTAGGATTGATTCAATCATTCAAGTATGATTGTATTTACCATATAAGGATTGTATTCAAAGTGTATATAACCACAGACCTGTACCTATAAACAAATCAATGAAATATACCAATTCTATATGGTATCACGAGCCCAAAAACTCCAACGAGCAATTTTTTTTTTATCCCTCTCTTCCCCTGTCTTCATCCATGGCCACTGACTCCTCTACAACCAACCCTCTACCAGAGCTCAACTCCACTACTCCCACCCAGGGCCGGTCTAGAGATTTTTGAGGCCCGGGGCGACGCTAAAAAATATGCCTTAACTTCACATAAGAAAATTATTTATTTTCACATAAAAGACATCGATAAAATTATACTTAGAAAAACATTTTGAACTCAATAATTTTGAAACACATAAAGACTAATTTATTTTGTATCAAAAGAAGGAAACCAAAAAACTCCTGGCTTACAAGTAGATAAATGAGTTTTGTTTTCCATTTGAACTTTTAAAAGTGTTTTTGTATATAAATCGTGAGATGTTTTTTTTCTTATTTACTAACCTTGTCAATATGGGACTAAAAAAATAATAATGTTTTCAAGTCTTTAATTGATATGTATAAGTAATGAATGGGCACTAAATTAAACCTTATGATGACACGTCATTGATTTGTAAATTTGCTCAAAAAATTTGGTCTACGCATTACTGTTTGTTGAATATTAGACTTGAATTTGAACGAATATTTAAAAATAGCAACCCATATAGCTACTAGCTAGTAACTAAAAATAAATTAACAACCAAACAAAAATTTGTTAAAATTGAAAAGAATAAACACGCACATAGCATTTCAAACTTAGGACCTCTCGTTAATTTTAAACAACAAAAAATCATTGCTTTTAATTAAACTTCTTGAGTATTTAACCAAATTTTATAAATTTATACTCTTATGAAAAAAAAATTGTAAAAATTGGAAAGTAAATAAGCACACGTGGTGTCTTGAACCCAAGACCTTCTCATTAATTTCAAATTACAAAACCACCACTTCTAGTTAAATTCCTTTGTCATTAAACCAACTTTTTTAAATTTATACTCTTATAAAAACATATATAAATATACCACCTGAATAATTTTGGTGCCCCCAATTTTTTTGGGCCCTGGACGGTCGCCCTGCCTACACTGGGCATGGGCCGGCCCTGCTCCCACCTTGATCACAATCAACGCTACAGCCCAACTACCTGTGAAACTCACACCCACCAATTACCTATCCTGGCATGCTCAGTTCAACGCCCTCCTTTACGGCTACGACCTCATGGGTTATGTGGATGGTTTTAATCTCTGCCCATCAACTACTCAAACCGTGCTTCGCACCTTTTGGATTCAGCAAGATCAACTCCTCCTTCATGCGATTCTTGCTTCCGTCTCACCGCAGGTCATCTCCCTTATTGCCTCTGCCAAGACATCCAATGAGGCTTGGGACAAGCTTCTCCATCTCTTTGCTAGCAAAACCCGTGCCCGCGTTCTTGGTCTCAAATAACGCCTTACTCTCCTGCGCCGTGAGAACAAGCCTGTCTCTGAGTATCTACAAGAAGTCCGCGTTATTGCAGATGAGCTCGCCATCATTGATGTCCCCCTCTCTAATGACGATCTCCTCCTCTACATTCTTAATGGTGTTGGCTCTGACTTCAAGGAAATTGCTGCGGTAGTTCGTTCTCGCGACACCTCAATCTCTTTTGAAAACCTGCATGACAAACTGGTTGAACATGAAGCTGCTCTCAAGCGTGATGATACCATTGTTGTAGCCCCAGTGATCACTGCCAATGTCACTCAGACATCTCGCTCCCACACCTCAAACCGTGGCTACCGCTCTCACAACTCCAACTCCAACCGTGGGTCCTTTGCCTCTCGCAATCCTTCTCGTGGTTCCTTCGGGCACCCCACACATCTTCCATTGACACCAATTCTCGTAGTTCCTACAAGCCTACCCAACAATCTTTCACCAACAATGGTCGCCGCTCTACCAACATGAACAACACAGGTTATCGTGGTTTCTGTCAATAGTGTGGCACTCAAGGTCATAGTGCCAAATGCTGCCCTCAACTCCAAATCTGGACCTCACAGTCCACTAGTGGCCAATCCTACCACCCATGGCCGGTCCACCTCGTTTCCAACATGGTTGCTTGATTCCGGTGCCTCTCACCATGTTACCTCCAATGTCAACACTCTCTCTAGTGCCTCTATATATGATGGTCCTGATGAAATAATTATTGGTAATGGTTCAGGTTTGGGTATCACTCATGTCGGTTCAACCACTTTACCCTCTTCATCCTCCTAATCTTTCAGCTTATCAAACGTTATATGTGTTCCTTCTATGAAAAAAGACATTATTTCTATCTCTAAATTTAATAAACAAAATCATACCTCTATTGAACTTTTTCCTGATTTCTTTCATGTCAAGGATCTGAGCACGGGGGCGGTTCTTCTTCGAGGCCCAAATAAGGATGATGTGTACGAGTGGTCTCCCAAATCTTTTTGTCAACCGCAAGCTATGGTGGGTGTGGTGGTCTCTCCCAACCTCTGGCATCGTCGTCTTGGTCACCCCAACCACCAAACTCTCCAACAAGTCCTTCGTATGTCTTCCATTAATGTGTCTTCCAAGTTGTTCGAGTCTGTTTGTCATTCATGTCTTTGTAATAAAAGCCATCGGCTCCCGTTTGGTACTTCGTCTCTCACCAGTCATGGTCCATTAAACCTCCTTTATAGTGATGTTTGGGGCCCTGCTCCGTACTTTTCTATTGATGGTTTTTCCTACTATGTTATCTTTGTTGACCATTTTACAAAATACATATGGCTCTACCCTCTCAAAAAGAAATCTGATGTGTTTTCCACTTTTGTCACCTTCAAAGCACTTGTCGAAAATTACTTCAAAAGAAAAATCACTAGATTATAACTGATGGTGGGGGTGAATTCATCAAACTCCAACATTTTCTCTCATCTAATGGCATCACCCATCTTCTTACACCACCTCACACTCCTCAACACAATGGAGTCGCCGAACGACGACATCGTCATATTGTTGAAACTGGTCTCACCCTTCTTCATCAAGCTTCTTTACCTCTCACCTATTGGTTTTATGCCTTTAAAACAGCTGCCTATCTTATCAACCGCATGCCTACTCCGCTTCTTCATAATCTCTCCCCATTCACTCAACTATTTGATGAACAACCCAATTACTCCCGTCTTCGTACATTTGGGTGCTTGTGTTTTCCTTGGTTACGTCCTTACAATTCCAATAAATTACTCCCTCGTTCCCGCCCATGTCTCTTCCTTGGTTACTCATTTAATCAAAGTGCTTTTCAGTGTCTTGATCTTTCCTCCAACAAACTTTTTATCTCTCGGCATGTTCAATTCGATGAGTCCACTTTTCCTCTTGCCAACCTCTCTTCCTCCATTCCCCATGTCACTATTGATAACTCTCACACTTGGGTCTCCTCTCTTTCTCCAGTTACTCATGTTCCTGTACACTTACCCACCAAGCCTGTTGAGTCGGTTGTTTCTTCTTCGCTGCCACCACATGTCACATCATCATCATCAGAATCTGCCCCTGTCTCAGAACCGTCACCATCCGCTGCCCCGGCCCCTATTGCTGTTGCTACCACTCTTCTCTTACCGTCACCCAACCACCATGCATTGGCCCCTACCTCTACCGCACCTCTTTTCACCCTACCACATTCTCCAGCCCAAACTGTTCACGTCCAGCCACCTCCTCCCCTTAACCTCGTTCGTACATACACTAGAAAACCCTCATAGGACTGTTGTCACCTTTCCACCCTCTGACCCACACCCCCCTAACCCCCCCGTACCTCATATGCTCCCCGATCATTCCATGATCACCCGTGCCAAAGCAGGTATCCACAAACCCAATCCTCGGTATGCTATGACTGCTACTAAACATCCCATTCTCTCCTCAGTTGAACCGACATGTGTTTCCCAGACCGTTAAGGATCCCCTTTGGCGGTAAGCAATGTCCAATGAGTTCAATGCGTTAATTCGCAATGGTACATGGGAGCTCGTTCCTTCCCTCCCCTCTCAAAATCTTATTGGTTGTAAGTGGGTGTTTCGTATCAAACGGCATCCTGATGGCACTATTGACATGTACAAGGCACGCTTAGTTGCCAAGGGTTTTCACCAACGCCCTGGTGTTGATTTTTCAGATACTTTCAGTCCGGTGGTCAAACCTACTACCATACGCATTGTTTTGCATCTTGCCGTGACTCATGGGTGGCCAATTCGTCAGTTGGACATTAACAATGCTTTCCTTCATGGCACAATCCGTGAAAATGTCTATATGGTCCAACCGCCTGGTTTTGTTGACTCTAATCATCCATCTCATGTGTGTAAATTGAGGAAAGCCCTCTATGGCCTCAAACAGGCTCCTCGGGCATGGTACAAGGAATTACACTCATTTCTGCTCTCCCATGGCTTTGTCAATGCCATCTCTAATGCCTCACTCTTTCTCTTGAAAAATGGGACTGCTGTAATTTATTTTTTGGTTTAAGTTGATGATCTTCTTATTACAGGCAACGATTCCTCACTTGTAGCAAAGTTCATCCAACTATTGGCAACTCGGTTCTCCGTCAAGGACCTGGGCTCATTACATTACTTTCTTGGTGTTGAGGTCCTTCCCATAGCCACTGGCATATTCCTCTCTCAGCACAAGTACATTCATGATCTTCTCGTCAATGCCAAGATGGATGGTGCAAAGGCTGTCAGTACGCCTCTCTCCACCACTCACTCACTCATGCTCCATGAAGGCTCCTCTCTAACGGATGCCACTCCCTACCGTCGTCTTGTTGGTGGTCTTCAATACCTAAGCCTTACACGCCCTGACATCTCCTTCGCAGTCAATAAGCTCTCTCAATTCATGCATTCTCCTTCCGAGACTCACTGGCAGGCACTCAAGCGTCTTCTTCGCTACTTGAAGGGTACCATTTCCTTTGGCCTTCATCTTTGTCGTCGCCCCTCTCATCGTCTCTATGCCTTTTCCGATGCTGACTGGGCTGGTGATCGTGATGATCGCAAGTCTACGACTAGCTATGTTGTCTATCTCGGTGGAAATCTCATCTCTTGGAGCTCCCGTAAGCAGCGGTCTGTCTCTCGCTCCTCCACCGAAGCCGAATATCGGGCCATTGCTGCCACCACTGCTGAACTCACATGGATTCAGTCCTTACTGCGTGAACTTGGCATTCCTCTCCCCACAACACCCGTTGTTTCTTGTGATAACATTGGAGCCATGTTCTATTGTGCTAATCATGTCCTACATTCCCGTATGAAACATATCGATATTGATTTTCAGTTTGTACAGGATCGTGTCACTCGTGGTCTTCTTCAAGTGTCTCATGTCTCCACTACTGATCAGCTTGCTGACGCTCTCACCAAATCCTTGCCACGTCCTCGTTTCCATCTCCTTCGTTCCAAGATCGGTGTCTCCGATGGTGCCACCGTCTTGAGGGGCGTGTTAAGGAATCTCCTACATCAAAGGAGATCAGTTCGTCAACAACACAATCTGCTCCATCAACCGCACAATCGGCTCCTCCGTATGAAAGTCAACTATGATATATGCTATGCTGTCTTTCCTATTCTATTTGATTAGGATTGATTCAGTCATTCAAGTATGATTGTATTTACCATATTAGGATTGTATTCAAAGTATATATAATCACAGACCTGTACCTATAAACAAATCAATGAAATATACCAATTCTATATTAACATCCAGAAATACGATGGCAGTGTCATTTCCAAGAAACCTGGAAAATTTTGGTGTATAGTTACTCAATTTTTTATTTATATGCACTGCCGATGGTTCTGTCATAATCTCGGATTATCATATCACATCTCCCACTCCGTATATAGTATGGACTGTCATTACATACTTGGCATTGTTCTTGTTTGGATATCAGGGAGCCGGGAAGGCCGAGTAAAACGAAGACCTGCTTGGCTGCTTCACAATGTGATGTAAATAACTAAGGAATTAAAGTTAATGAAGCCAAGTAGAAAATTTAATCACATTTTCCTCATTTAGAACTTTGTATCAGATGTCACTAAAAACAAGTTTTTCTTGTTCTTGTTTCCTTCTCTTTCCCTTGCTTCCTATTGGTCCCTCGATGATTTTCGCTCCTCATCATGTTGCTCCCTATAAAACTATATTGTTAACAACGATTAATTTGTAATCTCAAACCAACTATCTGAGCTCCCATAACTCCAATAGGGTATCCACTCCCTCCCCCTCGAACCCCAAACATAAAAAAAAAGGTACTAGTATTGTGAAACCATGGAAACCTTGGGTGATTCCATCGTTGAAGTTAGTAGGTGTGTAGGCAACTCCGTGTTGTCACTGTTTTCCACCCTGAAAAATTTCCAGAAAAACATCCAAACTTTGAAGGAGGAGCTGCAGAAGCTCTCTCGCAGAAAGTATGATATAACAGAAGAGATCGATGTATCAAGATTAGAAGGGAAACACCCCCCTTGCCAAGTTATAGAGTGGCTTGAAAGGGTTGAGAAGATTGAACGTGAGGTGGAGGGGATTGAACATGAAGCCCGGCTACTTTTGGAGGCAGATCCCATTGATTCTCCCTTTGGCCCGGGTTGTATGCTTGACTCTAATATGCGGCGCAAGTACCAACTTAGCAAAACTGCAGCAAAGAAGCGTCATGAGGTGAAAAAAGTCACCGAGGAGTTATGCAGTCTTCCAATATCTGCGGAATATAGGAAGCCAACTGATATAGTGGTTGAGCATATCCCGGCGCCTTCTCTTATTGGTCCAAGCAGCTGCTATTCAGTCTGTCTACCGACTCAGCATGATGAGAAAAGAATCATCCTTCGAGGGGTTGACCTCTTGCATCGAGAGCTCGAGGGGCTATTGAGCACAGCAAGTGCCCTGGACCTGTTCACATGCGGAGGTATAAGTAGTTTATCTGATATAATTACTAACAAGAGTTTGTGTGGCCTGCCAAACTTGAAGTCGCTCACCATATCAAATTGCGACTGCATAACTACATTGTTAGTCAGCGAAACAACTCTTCAGAGCACATTGCCAAATTTGGAGCACTTAACTCTGAGTCACCTGGATAACTTAGCAACCTTGTTGGACACGATAGTCCCCAGAGGATGCCTAAAAAATTTAAAGACCATCCAGGTGGTGGGATGTCGACTTCTAAAGAACCTCTTATCTTTTGCTATACTTCGACTGGTTCCAAACCTCGAAGAAATCAAGGTGAGTGACTGCAGAACGATGAAGCAGGTTATCACGAAAACTTTCCCTGAAATGCTTCCAAAGTTGAAAACCATAGAAGTCAGGAATATGGAAAACTTAAGGACTATCTGTTCAAGGGAAGCAGAACTGTCAGCTCTAGAGAGGATAGTGGTGAGCAACTGCCCCAGGGTGGTGAAGCTTCCCTTCGCAGCCCGTGATGCAGTGACTATTAAAGAGATTACAGGAGATTTAAACGGTTGGAGAACTCTTAAATGGAAAGATCGTGCAGACAAAATCAGTCTTCAGCAACGATTCCAAGCGTGCGCAGACACCGGGGTGCAGCCGCTGGAGGATTAAATAGGTAGAGATAATTATCTCATAGCATCATCATCTCTTGTAGTTTTTTTCATTTTCGAGTTTACGTAGTTTTCATCTACGAATCCAACAATCCATGCCATTTTTTTAATAGCAATGATATTCACGTGCACAAATTGCTATGTATAGTATAGTGTAAATGTATTTTTTTCTGTCGGATTCTTAGCTTCGTTGGAAATTTATTGCTTGTTTGTAGGCATGAAGATGTGAGGATACATACAAAGGTGGTGAGCAAGTCCAAGAATAAGTTCCAGAAACACTTCATGGGTTTCATCTCTTTGTTTTTAGCAGTTGTCTGTTAGCTGCTTGTAATGTAATGCATAGATAATAAATAAAGTGTGTGTGTGCTTTTTTCAGAGGATAAATTATGTTACGTTTCTGTTTTGTTGACAAGATAATATTTTTAATTAATTACTCTAGTACATGAGAATCGAGAATTTGAATTTGGCTGCAAGAAAGGGACAGACTCATTATTCTACCAACTGGCATAATTCAAGTATTCTATCAAATAATTCTTTTGATTGTACTACAGCTTTAACAATTCAAAATTTGTAGCATTGTTCTTATCTCAAGCAGATAAATTAAGTAATTTTAG